GACATGGTAGCGGCGGGCGACCGCGATTGTAGGGACGCACGACTGCCGGCAGTCGGCAGTGACGGCGGTGGCGGCAATCGGCTACTGCCGCCGCGGTTTTCGTCGTACACTAGGCGCCGACGCGTACCAAAATTGTCGGCGGCCGTCTGTGGGTGCGGCGGTAAAGGTGGCTTTTTACCCCGATCGACGGTGGCGATGTTGGTGGCCGACACGGTGGTGACTTTCGAGTCAGACGGGTTAGTAGTAGTGGGCTGTCGGGATGAAGCGGATGGTGGTGGTGGTGGCGGCGGCGTATCTGGTCTACCGGCGGGAGCATTAACTGTTGATGATGTTGTCTCACCATCAGCCTTAAATTTTTTCTTGTCTTTACTACGTCGACCGCTCAACCGCCGCAAGGAAAACCGTTGAAAAAATCCGCCGAGCTTTCCACCAATCGATTTCGACTTGGACATAGTTACCGCGGGCGCATCGGTCTCGGTCGCTCGCGATTCAACACTGCGGCCGTCCGCGCCGGTGACGGTCGCCGCGGTTGTACTAGAACCGGTGCCGGCGGTGGGCGTGCCACCGCCAATCCTATGCGAAACTGGTGGGGAGCCGCCGGTAATGAAGTCCAGCCGTTCGCGCAGCTGTTGTTTTTCCGCCAAGCTCGGCCGCCTGGTTTCCGAAGGTAGACCGGTCAACAGTTTTACTACCATAGTGTCGATATTATCTTCCGGTTCTTCTTCTTCTTCTTCCGTTTCCGGCGCCGAAGAAACTTCATCGGTACTACTGAAACTTTCACGCCAATTGACTTCAGAAACGACTGGACAAAAGTGCACGCCTTTGTTGGAGACGGGCGGCGCGAGGCTGACAAAACTGGTGGTTATTAGCAAGTTGCTACCCCTAGACGATGCTGCACTCAGTGCCGATTCGCTCTCGTAGTGTATTCGTTTTAACGAATGAGATCTATACAGCGACGCGGTAGAATCCAACAATTTCTTGGGACGTAAATAATCGCCGGTGTCCGACAGATCGTCGGCGCACAAGTTCGGCGTGCTGGACATGGGCAAACGGGACGCCATACCGTTGTGATCGTCGGTCGTAGGAGAGCCCGGGTTCACTGACGGCTGTTCTGCCAGATCGGGATAGCTACACCAGGTTGTGCTAAATTTAGAACCCGAGTGGTACGTGTCGTTGTCGCAATCTTCATCGCTCGTCCCCTTCTCCGTGACGACACCACTACTACCGCTATCTCGAGTCGTTGTCACGTCGCCGAGTATACTTTTCGTAGACATCTCAAAATAGTTTTCGTCCTCGACAATGGGCTTGTACGTCTGGACGACCGGCGCTGCTCTGATTGGCGGCACTTGATCGCCGAAACCGCTGTCTTCGCTGAGGTTCTCGGACGACCTTTGCTGTTTGACACTTGCAACGGTCAGTTCTCCGGGTTTTTTACCGTCCACCACATCAACACGTTTGCGGAACGCCGTCGGGTCAATAAGACAATCCACCGTCTTATACATACCCGTACTCGTGTTTGTGGCCGCGTTACAACCGTCGTCGTCTCGGCGCAAATCTTCCAGACTCTGCGAAACGTCAATTAAAGTAGAGTCCCGTTTACGTTTTTTACTGGCCCCCGAATGTACGCTTTCCATACTCTTGCTCAACGACTTGATACTCGAACCGTCACCGCCAGCTCCATAACTAGAAAACGGTGTACTACACAACATGGTCTCGTCGTCATCGTACTCATCACAATCGTCGTGTTGCTGATGCGATTTCCAACTGTGACGGCGTGACGACCGCTGGGCGGTAAGGGACTCGGAGCTGGTCGACATGAACGGGACGGATGTGGCGGTTGTTCTAAATTGCACCGTTTGCTCGCATTGTTTCTCTAATGTTTCGAACTGCAACAAACTACCTCCGCCTCCTCCTACCGTCAAGGGAGTCCATTCACATGGATTTTGTGTATTACCTCTAAAGAAAACATTGTCGTCCTCATCGTGTACTCCAGGATCGTTATTGTCGTACACCTTGTGAAGCGCTTCGTTGTTGAATAAATTAAACGGGTCATGGTTAGAGATGGACCAGCTATCCTCTTTGATAAAATCTGCCGAAAATAATAAAAAGTAGTCAAATTATGTAAAATATTTAAAATCAAATAAACAGTTTTAAAAAAAAAAATCATAGATGTGTGTATATTTTCAGCTAAGGGGTTTTCCATTACGACGAATATAGAAGAGACAACAATCTCGTCGCGATACTTCTAAAATACTAAACGTTAAAAAGAACACAGTAATAACGTGCAAACACTTGAGAATTTATTTACATAATTTTAATAGACCCAATATACAAAACCGTTTATATTCAACAAGTTTATAAGGAACTTGACATAGTTATGAGAAACGACAGAGGTTAAAGGAAATGGGGTTATTGCTTATTAGCATCGAAAAGACCCTTTAAATCCCCAGGCCACGTGTTGCACATGAAACGGAAGAAACGTAGGGGTGATTATAATGAGAACCATTTGTCACGTGACTAAAACGAATCCAAGTAACAAAATAATAGTAGTAAAGTAGTCCGACAAAAATATATTGCTGGGCGTCATAACATGAAAATGATATATGTCGATAGAATATTACATAAATTAATCTAAAATTAACAGTTTTAAAAACCGAAACTATTTTCAGAACATGCTTATTAATTTTCTTAATGTCTGGTTAAATAATGCATCATCGTTTCATACACTTTTATGAAAAAAGTGATTTAAAACATATATTTGCACGGGTGACTAACAAACACGATGAATAGTTTCCTCATTAACATTTACGTCAATGATGAGATGTCGGTAAAAAAAAATTTGCAGTTATAAAAAAAAATGTATCCTCTCCTGATAATCTCAAAACACGACATAAGTATTCTTATGTCAATTGGGTTGACTATACAGTTAGTATTAAGGAGTTTCGAGTAGACGATTGAAATTGTTGTTTAGTATTAATGGAATTTTTAAAATATACGTTGGAATGTATGTGGCCGTCACGGTGAGTCATTTACCTCTTGCCTCCCACTACACACTGTCAGCGCATTATCAAAACAAATAATCTCGAGTAAAACGTACACAGACAAAGGCGTTTCCTAAACATGGTAAAAACTTCTTTACGCATTATTGTCAAATAAATAAATAATAATTACAGTAATAGCTTAAGAACTTTTAAAATTGTGAAGACACAGGTCATTCAGATACTGGGTGGCGAATGAACTCAATATTGACCCGGAAGACTTTTTAACCAACAGGTTTTATTGAGGGAGATACTCAGCGTAGGTGTTTTCCCATTAAACGCCGAGGAAAAAAATGAACTTGACAATTAATAACATTCATTAAACACGTTTAATTTTTCACGGCTCTAGTGTTATAAATGCGTTTAAAATAGGGTAGGGCTTTGTCATGTACACAGAACAAACTCGAGTGTATTAGAAAAATAATAATAAAAGAAAAACCACCGTTTATTGCTCAAACAAGTGTACAGTGCACCAGCTAGATACGTTTGTACGGTATTTGTTATTATCATTATTCAACGTATTACACACGGCAAAAAAAAAAATTGAAGGCCAGAGAATTATTCGCGTACGTGTCGGATTTTATATCGTAGCTACTATACTATTAGCCAAGATGATTACCAATAAAATATCAACACACTGCGAATTCTAAAATGAATAAAAGAACACCACTCTACTAACTCTAGAGAAAAATATGCTTAGTATTATATTATACTAAAACATCAATTGAACCCAGCGGTGAAAACTATAATGATACAATACCACCAACACGAAACATAACGTCGTCGAGTTGTTAATTAAACAGTACAATATTATTAGATAATTCATAATTCCGTGTCACGCATCCAAGAACCTAAATAATTGTTTTATTCGCCATTTGGTTATAATGGTTATTGAGTTATTAGACATAATTGTGTCGATCGGATCGAAAGTTAGAGTGTTTACTGAAAGGGCAAGTATCAAAACGATAAATGAACGTTTTCCGCTCCTCCTAGACAATTTAAAAGTCTCATACTAAAACACAGTGTTTTTTTTTCGAGTGTAATCCGATTTAACGAAAAACAAGTACTTGGAAATGCAACTTGCCAGCTGTGCATTTACACGTGAAAACACTTCATAAACACTACGCTATTGCCTATGAGTTTACACGATTATAATTACAGGTGATCAAACCACAAAGTAGAAAACAATAAATACTACTCATTAAAAAACATCTATTTCTTTTGGAATGTCGACGCTTATAAAAACGGCCGCACGAACATGACATTTACTATTTTATTTACCTTCTTCGCTACTTCTTTCAGAATCCGTTCTCAAATCATCAGACGTTTCTTCCAGAATGGTTTCCAAAAAAATATAAGACGTACTCCTATCAATGTTTCCGCCGTAATTGCTCTGGTTGAATGATGACCAGCTGTCATCGTCCGCGAGATCGTCGTCATCTGTAAAAAAACATTCAAATCATTTGTAGAAAAATTCATACTATTATGTCGAACAAATTTTAACGTCGTTTTAAATTCATCTAATATTACTAATATAGTAATACTATTGTTCATTTAAAACGACGTTGCTTATAATTTTTACATCAGCACATTATCGTTTGTTTCATAGTATCACTGGACATAATAAGTTTTGCTGACGATTACATACATGTGGGGAGCTCAAGACGACACTTAAGAGCGATTGAAATAAAACATTTATTAATATTTATCATAAAATTATCGCAAGTCGAACCATAAAATTGTTGTTCCTTATTTTATTTTAAGTATTTATAATCTCTTAGTTATTTTTCGCTATCTAGTCGCTAAATTATAGATCTATTCCTAAAAACTTATAAATGTATGTTAAAACCATGAAATGAATATATATTGCAGTTAACTTTTTCGTGGAATTAATAATTGAGAGCGCATATATTTTATTAAAATTACATTGGCAACAAATATATCTATGAATACTGACTACAATGTATTGCTATCAGGTGGCACATCGTTTGTTACAATAAATAGGCGACCGTTACACAAGGTATGACACGATTGTTATGGTTCTCTGAGCTCAGTCCCTGTAGGGTGCCTAGAATTAAAATAAACCGGAAGAGTCATAAACACACACACACTATACAACTACGACCGGATACTCGAAATACAATTGGTAGAGGTGATAGAATAATGTAAGTCAAGTTCTGCAAATAAAAATAATAAATAACAGTTAATTTTAAAAGGGATAGGCTTGAGTTGTTTTTGCTATAGAAAAATCTAGTAAATAACAATGGAATTGAGCTTAAAAAACAAATTATCCTAAGATAAGATATACGACTTCAAATAATGATGTAATATTTGTAGTCAAACAACACATAAAAATCCAATGTCACGCCGAAATGCAACTTGATCGATTGTTGTAATAGATATTTTGTAATTTATACAATTCATATTACTGTTACAACATAAACTTTACTCGGACGAACTTCTTCATGTCACTTTATAGTATAAAATGATTGTTTTTCAAGAAACATTAATATAATTATACCTAACTCATTTTAAATATGTTTATACGATCAATCTGAAGACACAAATTTAAATGAAAAATAATTTATATTACAGACTCGACGAAAAACACGAATTTAATTTAAAACTAATATTTTTTTTTATTATTTGTTGTTTGAAATTGGTTTAATGTTTAGAAAAGTGTTATTTTTGATATCCATCGGTAGATTGCCATGGATACCAATAACCGTTACTACACTTAATTACTTCACCTACAAATAATAGTAGAGTATTATAGTAATATGAATAATAGAGAACTATTCAAAAATATAATTACATAATGAATTGATCTGTCATGCAATAATTCACGACAATCAAGAACATTTTTTTTTTTTTATAAACAGTATGTTTGAAATAGCTAATGATTTACAAATAAGTCGAGTAAAAAGCGCATCATTTTGCAAGGTCTTTGTGAACACGATTGGATGAGTTCTCTTTACCGTGTCTACTGTAATGTATTTTAAGTCATAAGTGATAATAATGCGTAAAAACTGCATTGTTCTATACGTTTTGTGTTACACCACTTCTCATAAAATTTAATTATGTAAGGAAACAAAAATTGTGTGTAAATAATTTAGCGAATTGAACAACGTTAAGTCATTAAAGAGTAGATGCACAAAATACTTCCCCATCAACGATAAATACTAATGATTAATGAACGAATTAGTTTTTTTAATTGTCAACGTAAGAAACATACATAAATTTAAGTGTATATATATATAAATTCAATAAAATATTAAAAAATAATTCCGACAACTAAAATTTTACAAGTTGTAATACATTTAAAAAAATGTAAATAAATTAAACGTGAGGAGTAAACAATTTAGAATATTAAACTAGAAGATTTGTGTCCAAATCTCGCCCACTCACTGACCAAATACTGTTGTTTTTTTTTTTTTGCGAAAGACTCAGTTTTAATCAATTTATAAGGTAAATAAAATATAAAGATCATTAGCGTTCTAGGTTGTCAAGTCATTCTTAGTAATAAAAAACCAGAACATATCACCAAAACCTATAAGGTCATCGCGGTTCGTCAACACACCTATAGTGATAATTACACTATTAATGTCAATAATCATTACTATATACTGCAAGTTAAAGCCGACAATCAAAGATATAGAAAGATCACATACATAGTACACATACACATAGACTGTTTTTTGCGAGTGGCCGAGTACATTTGAGTATTTACCAAAGGTGTAAAATATTGACAAAACCGTTAGTGTCACCGAAAAAACTAAACTTTTCAGGCTTTTTGAAAATATCGTTCTGTCGACTGCGACTAGCAATCGACAAATTAAATTTTTTTCCGTACCACTGCCAACGTAAATCTCCGCTCGTAAACGTCTTGACGTGTTAGATTATTTTGTTACACTCATAACCGGTAAATGAGTAATAAAAAACTGGCACGAAGTGAACGGCGTTGGCGGCCTCGTAAAGCGGAATGGATTTAAAAACTGCAAGTAGTTTCCGCGAAGCCAAATAACGGTAGTACCATCAGCTCCAAACCCCTTCTGCTGACGCCCTAGTGGCAGTTGGCCTCTTTCTTCTGAATCAAATTCTAGACATTTTTTTTTACCTTTTTTATTTCGTTCCTGTCAATGAAAACTGTTACACGCGGTGCACACCGGCGGGCCACAGTCCGTAGTAAATTGCATACCAACTATTATTAATCATTCGGTCTCCCGATCGGATTGTATTCGCGATCGAATGACAGTAAAATGTAGATACACACCTTTCTAAAAATAGACAATGATAGAGCAGTATTGTTTTCTCGATAGCCTGAATACTTAAAAGATTAATAATAAATAATCGCCACCTTCATGATGTACCGTAGTAACGAATATAAAAACCGGTCGTTTAAAATCGGTCAAAATGCAATTAACACACGAGACGTTTAGAAGCACACGACAGACGGATATATTTTGCGGTTCAATATTAAAAACAAAGTCATCAAATTTCTTCTATATATATATATATATATATATAACGGACTTACTGATAATTTCATAAGTCAGGTCATAAAATGAGTTAATTAAATTCTTTATTTATAGATTCGTAAAAAATAACTCCAAGCTAACATTATAGAACAGTGCGTGCTATGCGTTTATGTGGTATTTTTGTTGGTCGTCTGATGAACCGTTACGATACAACTATAGTTTACATTCACTTCCAACAAACAGATAGTATATAATGTAGATAATTAAACATTTTAAAGGTGAATTTGTCGATAATGTACGACAGCAAATAAAAGGTATCGCCGGAAAAAACCTCAACAATCATTGGAGGATAAATAAAACAGGTAATAAGATGATGAAAACGGTCAATCTAAAATAATAGTTAATGACGCTGAAAAAAGTAGTCGTAAATATAAGCAAATTCTATAAAAAAAAAAACCATTCGTTTTCGGTTGTAACAAAACAAATCAACAGGAAAATATAACGAAAAAAATTAATCTTGCATACGACCGTTAAAGTTAAAGAAAATTTCCACCAAAATGTGAAAAAAATGAGTTGAATCGTGCGCAATAGGTCGTTCACGACAGACGCGGTTCAACGACTTGTCTGCCGCACTCGAATACCACCAGAACTCGGACACACAGGATACGTTCAACAATAACATTTCCCCGGCACTTACTATGAGAATATACGTTACAAACAATATGTCGGACTAGAATAATACAAACAAGTATTTATAGTACTTTTTCATTGCTCGACTTACAGTGAACGAGTCGGCTGGACGAAAATAATAAATATTAAACGCTTGAAAAACGAATAGCATTTAATAGAATTAATTATTTGGCAATTTAATAAGATATATTGGAGTGCATTGTTTGGAAAACGAGACGAGTGTTGTGACTCGCCACTACAAACTGCTCATAAAAGAATGAACGACGGCGTTAGTTACAGTCGTGTGACGCGCTTTGGTCTTGTGTGTCGATATTTAGTACAATAACAGCAACGAATGATGATAGTAATAATAATATGTAATCACCATTGTTGTCGTCTTCGTGGTCGCCACAGAAATAGTCCGGCCGATCGACAGAATCGAACGTGACGGGGTCGTTCTGTTGGCCATGATGAAGATGGTGATGGCCACCGCCTCCGCTACTGCCCATGACGGTCGGTTGCTGGAGACCGTACGCAGGAAGCCAATGATTAGTTCCAGCAGAGTCGAGCTTTTCCGACCAGTCACTGAACGCGATATTTTCAGCCATTCTTTCGCTTACGGAGTCGTACCAAATGCCTGTGAACAACGCACACTATTATATGTCAGTGGTATTAACGCGAAATGCAACTTGGAAAATATTAGATTTGTTTAAATAAAAACAAACAATTCACGAGTTGCCATGAGACATTTAACCAATTATCACCCAGTGTATTTTCAATAAAAACGGGCTACATTTATGTAAAACGATTTTTTTTTTTCATATAAAAGTATCAATGTATGTAATGAAACAATGAATCTCACACAATACCAAAAAATTGGTAGGGTTGTAAAAAATTAAAATCCTGAACATTTGTAGCTTTACTTAAATGAAATGACCGATACCAAAACATAATTCGTAAATTCAATAACGCATTTTAACTAATATTTTACATTAAATGATATTTTTATTAATATACTTAGTAAAAATCAGATTACTTTATTATTCTATAGTCAAAATAATTTAAGCGATTTTCGTTCATTATTTGACACAAAATTATGTCTTCATTAACCGATCACTAGTCTAGTCAAAAAAGTTTACACGGGAACAAATAGAATTGTAATAATGAGATAAAAAAATTGATTTTCAATTGTAAAATTTGCATAGCATAAAAATTACTACTATACATATAATGAAAGGGCAATTATTGTTAAATATAATGTAAATAAGACAACTACGTCAGAGGTAAAATGCACACTAGTTTTTAAAATAATTATAATTTATTTGCTTTAGTAAATAATGTTCAAAAAATAAGCACAACACGAACATTGTTCATGAATTATTTTTTCATTTCAATGCACAATAAACAAGGGCATAGTCTTATTACATTCTGTTATCAGTTCGGTATAACAATATAAAACTTCAACTAAATAATACTGCGCAAGATTTGAGCCTTCTATAACACACGTGTAATGGTGTATTTACGATGTCGGATTCGGACCTTCCATGGACATAAAATCATATTAAGGGAGGGTCTAAATACGGTCAATCACAACACTACTTTACGTTCTAAAAGCTATCTAGATTCCCTTCCCATACATAATTTCAGAATACACAGAATTAAATATCACACATGTGTGAATTTGGTGCTCAACTTGGTAATTTGTACAGAAAGTATATAAGACTTAAAATTTTTGTAAACACATTTTTTATTGAAATTAATTTTATTAAAAACAGTTTTAGTGTAGAAAGTAAAACTCAGAATTAATGATTATTAGACAAAACTAAAGAGAATTACATAAATATGTAATAAGGTAATAATTATTCTGCTGGATTTTTCTAATTTCATAAAAAATTAATACGTGTCTTTTTACAAATCAAATGACAAGACTTTAATATAAAAACTATTACAGCATTTGATTTTTTAGATATTATTACAAATCACTTAAATGATTGGTAACACATTAGTAAGCTATACATAAAAGTTATTGTGAGGTATTGAAATTGGTTAATTATAGTAGGCAACCTTAACATAATATTACCAACAAAAAAAAAAAATCGCAGCTATTTTACTTCATGAAAGTAATTAAATGGAATACATTTATTTTTTTAAATAATTTTGAATGCATTTATATGAGACTGGGGAACTACGGTCACCTTAGCAAAAATTGTTATATCTCTGGTTCTAAATGTTATGCTATTACAATGTTTTTTGATAATATCGTTCTAATAAGAATAAAGTTTTTCATCATTCTTAATTTATACATATGGTCAACATAATTATAAATGCATGGGTTTATTAGATAATGAGGTGACCGGTATTACCCACTGACCATAGTTCCCCCAGTTTCCTCTATATCATATCATCCATAAGGTTACTTGTAAAATAATAATACAAATTAAACATAAAGCATTCCAACTTAGAAAATAACGGGGGGAAAATAATATTTGCTAAGAAACAAAAAAAAAATCAATGTACACTAGATTTAAATGAATTGAAGTATCATAATCAGTCAATGTTGATTATTGATGACCACCATCAATTAAAATAAAAAAGTACAACGACCTTTCATGTGATCGGTACAACGTGTTTCTTGTTATGAAATTGACAAACTAATGTTTATATTAGTTACTTAATTAGTAGCTGACACGGCTATGTAAACTACAAGGCAATTCACAAATTTCAGTTAAATAATTGCTCGACACGCGATTATTTCAATTTAGTTCTCTCTACAAAGGTAAATATTCAAAGCGTTAATCGATTATGAGTTCAATGTTATTTCAAATCTATTGAACATTTAATAACAATTATTTACAATTTAATAATTAATTTTCATCATTATTATAATCTTAAAGTTTATCTTTGGTGTTAACACAAATATCTTTTTTTATGGGAAATTAAATATTTGTCATTCTAAAACAAATATAACCGATGTTAACTAGTACCGCGCAAGGAAAATGGAAATTTGTAATATGCCTGATGGATAGTATTTTAATTTAAAAATTATGATTGGTTCCAGCGTATTAAATGGTTTTATTTCTTGACTATGATCCATCTAGAAACAGTGTAAATTATAATCTAGTTCGTCATAGTTAATAAATAAAATCGGTTGGGATGCGTAACATATACACGACTAAGTTTTCGAAAATCGTTACTGTATAAAATCACAATAAAGGACTCATTGCGTAGGTTATCATATTCAATGTTGCCCATTAATTGTAAAAATTTAAAACATGTTTCAGGAAATTAGGATGTTTTCAAGAGTAATTAACTATATTCTAAATTTAAATAGTTATTTAAATGTTAAATTGTAATAAGAGAGTTATTATACAATTTTATACCTAATATATTAAACAGTACATCGTACTATTAGGCAATATTAAGATTTTTAAGAAGTTTATCGTCGAAAACACATATTTTTTTAACAAAACAACAAATATGTATTTGAAAAATAAGTTTTCATCAATTTATTATAATTCTACAACAAAAGGGTAAACGTTCCAGAGATTTACCAGATAGTAAATCTAGGAGAAAGTTGTTCAGACAATTCATAATTAATGAATCGTGAGAATGAACATTTATAAGTTTGTTCCTCGAGAAAATTGTATATATTAAAAGGTACACATAAAAATATACAATGGTTTATTTTCAAAGTAATTTTAATATAAATGCGTCAATAAAAATATTTCAGTTATTATTTAAGATTTTCATGAGAAATTTTACCATGTTATTCAGTTGTTCAGTATAAATTTAGGTCGAACCTACAACACGTGTCTCAAATTTAAGTGACAGGTGTTGTCTGTTCATTATTAAAATACAAGGGTACGAGAGTTGAGTTCACACCGACCCCAAATATTCATACAATATCGATAAAGGATATCCATTCTAAACTAATAATGCCTGTTCATAGTATACACACAACAAACTGTGCTAATTACCTTTTTTAATAATGTAAATAGTCAAAATATACATTCAATAAATTTCAAGTTTAAAAACAAAAATAATACCTCAAACGCAGAACAAAATAAAAATTGTTTCTTACTATTAATTTAGAGAAGGCTATTTCATTATCTTGCGAAGTACATTTTATGTTTATTCCGATTCAAGTTTCTTTATATACTGTATTTTTTAATTATTATATGTTTCACTCAATGTATTCATCTTTGCTCAACTATTTTCGTAAAAAATTCAAATGGTTGGTTACGTATTTGTCTAACGATTTAACTAGTTGATTTAATCATTCAGTATATTATTTTAAGAATTTAACACGCAGTCGATATGTAACTAATTTTCTTTTGTCAATTCACTAATAATGAAATTATTAATTTATATTCCTTTGTTATATTCTTAAGAATTCCCTACAACTTTTAAAAGTATAAATCGAATGGTGTTACATTAGATACATTTATATGAACACAATGAGTGCAACTCATAGCTTTTTGACAATAGAATCGAAAATGGATGTATGAAAAATATTTAAGATTGCAAGCAAGTATCATTTACCTAAGGTCAATGGCAATCGACGCGAGCCTAACTCTTCATGTAAATATCCTGATTGATGTATACATTCCTATACGCGGGTTGAGGTCACTATATCCATAATCAGCCTACAAAGCACTCTTACACTACCGTTAAAGAAAAATTAATGAACTTATACCGCACTTAACAGAGACGAACTGATAGTGGGAACGGTAAACGATTTTTTATTTCGTCATCGGGTCGTACAAGTACTTCATTACCAGAAACGACTCCGTTCTTCACTGCCGTGGTAATTACCACAAGACTCAGTCAAAACGCGCAACACGACTTAAGAGACAACGACGACTAACAACACAAACCGAAACTCGGATCACGAATAGTAAGTGTTGTATACATGCACATTGTTGTCCCGGCGTAAACCGGTCTTAGGTCAAACGAACAGTGTTACCAGATGGTAGTGTAAAAATTCCCATATTCTAAATAAAGATACTATTTATGAGCATCGTGTCATAAACTGAGTATGGACACGAAATCACCAGTCACATATTCGAGGGGATCAATGGGTCTGGAAGTCCTCTCCCTTAACAATTTTAAAAATAACATCATATTAATGATGCTAAACTTGATAGTATTATGTGAGGAATGAAATCTTTTTGACTACCCCACCACCCTTGAAATGAAAATAATTTAAAACAATAACATTTAATAAAATATGTGCACATTACTTATTGTTAGTTAATTATTTTAGTAATAAACCAGTTCAAAAAGAACGGTTCCAATTTCAATTAAAAAATGATCAAATATTTATTTATTTATCCGCTTCATAAATTCATACCCAAAGTGAAAGTATAAAAATAGTGAAACATTTGATTTGATGGGTGTACATTGTGCATGGAATAAATGTTATTCAAACAATTTGATATACAAATAAGAGCATAGACCAGTCAAGTCCTTACATATTTAAGCCATATATAATTATCAAAAATTAAAAAACAAAATAGACATTGAAAATATTATATTTGAGCTATTCGTAGTAAATTTTAATAATCTATACCTAATTATACAATGCAATTTTATTACTTGAGTTTCACTAAAAAAGTATAATTTAAATAGTTAAAAATGTACAAGATATGTGCGATTAAAAAACATATCTCAACATAAAAAAGCAAAAAAATTTATAAATTATCATGAAAATTTCATTATTATTTAAAGAAATATTATGTTATAATTTAATATGTTTACTTTGGATAAATTTATACTTTAATAGTAAGTTTTTTTAAAGTTTAATATTTCATCAAAGTAAATTATACATTACTTTAACAGTTAATTGATCAATAAAATCTAATATTAAATAATACTTAATGTGTTAATCAACATGAAAATTTACTGTCTATTTTCATGTTTGTGAAATGATTAGAAATTATGTTACAAATAAATAAAAGAGTTGCTACTAACTTGTTAAAGTATAAAAAATATAAATTTGCAAAAGATCACAGCTATTCTAAGATATTTACTATTTATTTTTAAACTAATGAGTTTAATACATACAGTAAATATACATTATATACTACATTAACTAGACCTTATATACATACATTCCTCAATATTTAAGAGCTATGTTTTAAATATAAATTTGTTTGTTATTTATATACATTTAAATTTTCATGGTTAATTACTCCCATAACAAAATTTAATTAATTTACTTTTTTATGGCAGATTTAAGGTCTAAATGACACTTAATATTATTTACAGATAATAATAATATTAACAAAGAAGTAAATTTCAATGTGCGGCTGAATACATTTTAATATTGAAATATAACTAAAACTAAAACCTACTTGCCTATTACACTTTATAGAATTGACATTAAATAAATAGCAGAATATTTTATTAAATATATTTAAATGTAATACTAAAATATTTCATATATTTAGGAATATAATAAATTAAACAAAGTAATAAATAAAGTCAGCCATATCTAATAAAATTGTATGATTATTCTTGTAAGTTTATGGAAAAAAATACTGCTAGTCAATTCATTAGTAATACTGAAATGAAAAGCCTGTATACTTTATAATATTTCAGTCTTTTAAATTATTTTATAAAACAAAATCAAACTTAAATTAGAGCTAGTGGTTTTTTGTTAAAATTTTATAGCCATAATTAAAATTAATTTAAATTTTTTTTTAAATGCTTAACTCAATCATTTTGTTTACACTTATGAAAATTAAAAAAAATTGTTATTTGATATATTATGTGAACTTTTTGGCTGAATACTTATAAATAAAATGTACATATAATTATGGTTAACAGATCATTTATACAATAGAAAATTAAAAAATAATATATACAACTTAACTTTTTCATATACAGTGTTAATATTAAATAATTATTCAAACACCCTGTTTAAGCTATATCTATTAGAGTTTAACAGAATAATTATAACAATTAATACTAACATATTTTGTTCATAAACTATAAATTAATAATTGTCTACTTATTAACTGTTATCTTATACACAGCTATGATGAAAAAATAAGTTACAAAAGAGTAAAAAATCTTAATAGACAGTGATACTACTGGTTAATAATTAAAAATAATTAACTATCCTGAACAAACTAAATAATTTAATATGTTTATTAGTTATAAAATAATTGATTCATTTTTGTGATTACCACTTTTATAATAATAACAAATAAATCAACTATTTATTATTATATTTTTAATTTTAAAGAAAAACTAGAACATAAGTTAACTAAAATTTTTTTATATAACATAGCACTTATTATTTAATATTGTGTGTATTCAATTTAAATAATTTAATTTTAATGGAATCATAACTTTTAAGTAGACTAATTAATTGATAATGGCAGTCTATCAGTAATATTTGTTTAATTTCATTTTTTTTGATAGATTAAGAATATTATTGAAATTAATAAGTATACTTGAAGTTTCATTAATTGTAAATACATATACTATAATATGTATACTTTTATACTATCACATAATATACAATAGAAATATCTTATTTTAAACTTTTGCTTGATAAAGTTGTTTTAAAATCACACTTGTCTCTCATGCTCAAAAGAATATTTGAACTAAAAAAAATTATAACAGTATTAGTATTACTCATAAAAAACATTTATAAATATTAAAAAGCTTACTTGTGCATCAATATCTTCTTGAGTTTTAGCTTTAATTTCAGGTATATTCTAAAATATAATAACTATTGATTATAAAATATTTGATAAATTAATATATATCTGCAATATACCATTACCTTAAAACTATATTTGTTATCAATAGCTATATTATGATTCAATATAAATGGGATTCCTTCTAACCCTTAAAATAAATTGAAATAAATAAGATTAAACTAAATATTTGATGAAGTGTAATTAATGTAATTGAAATTGTTAATAAATAAAAATATGTACCTTGGTAGGAGTTTAGTGTTGAATAATTAGAAGATGAATATGTTGGTGGCAGTTTTGGCGCAGGTCGTGATGGTTTTAAGGATAAACAATCATATTCATGTGATAGTAAGTCAATACTGGAATCTAATTTTGGATATGAGGTTAAGGAATCATTACCATTCGAAATATTTTCTGTGTTTTCAGATGGCGCTAAACTATAAATAAAATTATTAAAAATTAATGAGTAGTTTTTGAAGTAATGTTAACATTTATTTATAAATAATATTTAAAACATACCTATAGGATAAAGGTGAAAGTGGTAAATTAGCTGGTGATTGAGGACTAGTCTTGTAACAAAGTGTTAAACCATTTAAATCCCTAGAAATAATAAAAAATTATAAAAATTTGGTTTTTTAAAAAATCAATTAAAACATTGATTTATTATTTTATAGTATATTTAGTCAATGTATAAACTAACCCAACATAGTTAAAACCATCAGGAGCCTTTTTTGAACGACTCAAAAGTATGATATCAGTAATAGCATACGGTGCCAATGATTTTCTAGTCAGCTTATAACATAATTGTCGTTTTCGCCAAGCTTTTTGATCTAAAAATTTTTTATAATATTTTAAATAATAAAATAAATGTTGATATTCTTTTTTAATAGTATTACCATTATCTATAGTTCTAGAAATTAAACAATATCCATCTGGAGGACTTTCCTTTTCATTTATTAAATCTATATTAACTACAATATAATCTGATATGCCTTCCGTTTTAGATATACATAAGTATCTTGTAACTTTACGGCCAATAAATACTGATTCCTTCCATGATTGCAAATGTAAATCAGCATCAGAATCTTGATCATGAGTTTTTAGTATCTGAAATAATAATAAAAAAGTAATAATACATTCAATTTTCAAATTTATTTATTTATTTTTAGTGTAGCAATTTCAAATAGAGTATAGTTTCTTAAGAATATCTTTAAAGTGTTAAAACTTTCATAGTTTTTTAATAACTATCCCAATAAAAAAACAATTTTTATTTTATTTATTTACTATTTATTAATTTTTTTAATGTCTAATTAGTTATAAAAAAATTACAATTAACTAATTACAATTATAGATAGTGTAAGTATTACACTATTAACTTACAGGAGTATATCCAGAAGGACATCTTGTAGAATCTTCCACAACACACAATGCTGATATCGGTTTGTTGTCAGGAAATGATTTTATTACTTGTTTTATCATTTTCAGTCAATTTTCAATATTTAAATAGAAAAATTTTTACACGGTGAGTCAAGATGAACAATGAAAATTACGTTTCATTGGAAGTAGAAGAACAAAGATCGAATTCAGTATCAGATACACCTAGACTGTTTATAATTACAATCACACCAAGTTTGATTCACTGGTTTTATCAACAATATATTTATTTTAGAGAGGGGATAGACGAAAGATAGCAACAGAGTGCTTACTTGGTCAGTGTGATATCATAGTAATAACAATTTTGTAATTATAACATTAATTTGCAGACTTATGACGTGCTATTAAATTGTCTTATGTAATTTTATTAAATGTTTTAGAAAATTTTTAATTTATTTTGTATTACGGATGTAATATGACAGTGTTACAGTAGATCATTATATGCCTATAACATGGGCAATTCAGCAAGTTTGAAAAATCATGTTGAAACATCTAAGAAAACAGGTGTGTTAAATCTATCTGATAGTCACCTTAAACAATACCCAGAAACTATAGATGTATTGCATCCGTATTTAAGAACTCTAGATTTATCAAAGAATAAATTTAAATCATTGCCAAAAACAGTAGGTCAATTCAAAGAATTAAAAGTGTTGAATATAAGCAATAATTCATTAGAAACTTTACCAGATGAAATAAATAACCTGTTAAAATTAGAGACACTTCAATTAAGTTGTAATCTGCTTAAAACAATACCAATACTTAATAATCTTTCAAATTTAAAACGTGTGTCAATTGGAGATAATCAATTAAGCATATTTCCAGAATTTTTATGTCAATTAAAACACTTAGAAACATTAGATTTATCTAAAAACAAAATTACTCAAGTACCTGAGTGCATAAAAGAATCAAGATTAGTAGAACTTAATATAAATCAGAACCAAATAAGAAAATTACCTGTTGCTCTTGCAGAATGTACAAGATTAAAAACATTACGAATAGAAGAAAATTGTTTAGAACTAGTTGACATTCCTAGAGAGGTATTAAAATCATCTAAAATTTCATTATTATGTGCAGAAGGTAATTTATTTGACATGAAGTCATTAATGGGTATAGAAGAATATGGAATTTATATGGCACGATATACTGAAGTAAAAAAAAAAATGTTTTAAATTTAATTTTTGTAATTTCTTACATAAATTATTTTTTGTAAATTTTTTATTTTATTTAGAAGTTATAACACTAGTCTATTGGAATCCCTAATTAATTAAATGTTTATAGTAGGTTTGGTTCATTATTGTTATTCAGAATTTTGTATTACCTGAAGTTTAATTATTATTGTGTTTAAAGGTTACATACTATTTATTTATACAATTTTATGTTTATTTACAACATATTTATTATATTTAATCATTCTTATAACTTAAATAAGCATAAGGTTAACTTTAAAATAACATCAATTAACTTTTGTAAAAAAATTTTACTAAATATAAGTACACATTATTCTTGTTTAAAATATAATATTCAAATTAAATTTATGATTATTTTTAGTTATTTATCTCTTTTAATTAATCAATTTAAGCAGATATTTTATTTATTATTAGTCTTTATTTAAACATATATTAATTAATTTATATATCCAATTAATCGTGAAATTTATTCACATATTCAACATTAATAACTAACAATTTTTATGTATCTAATTAAAATTAATTTTTTATACATTTATTAATAATTTAGTGTCAATTAAGTATAAGATAGTTACGTAACTATCCCTAAGTAATCTTTTATCTTAACCATATGGTACTTTTAATTTCGACAAAGTAGTTATTTTAAATACATCTTTATAGTTCATTTTCGATAAATATGTAAAAGTCTTAAACAAATTTGAATTATTCAATCCAAATTTTTTAGTTTACTATCATAATTGTAGATTTATAAACTTAGTTTACTGTGATTGTGTGTAATTTATTGTAACGTTAGTAATTGTATTTATATTTTTTATATTCATACTTAACTAAGAAAGGATTATTTATTTTTGTAACAATTTAGTGAGATATCAATTGATAAAAATTGTCTTAAATAATAGTTGAGTAATTCTACAAAACATATTATTAAATCTTTAAACTTATTAAGACGGCTAATTTCAATAAAATGAACATCTAAAATATTTAATACAACAATTTTTTTCAATATTAAGAGCATGTACATCTATTTTGATCTTGATCTGGTTTTTCTTAAATATTTATTGCAAACCAAATCGCTCAATTCAGCATCGCACAATTTAAAATATAATTTTACAATTAAAAATATATATAATTATGTAATAATGAATTAAATTTTGATGTTCTTAATGCACAAATTTATTTAATTTGGAATTGAAATTTTATTTGATTTATAATTGATCACGAATAAAAATGATGTAAATAATTTAATTTAATTAATAAATCAATTTAATTATTAATTTGTAATTATATCATTAATAATTATGGTTATATTTAAAACTAAATTGTAAAAAAAAATGATTTTAATTTAAAATGTAGAGTAATTCATATCTATTCATTCTAAGATAAAGATATTATGATCCTAAAAGATTAGAATTTTTGTAAATAATGATCCTGTTATTTTGACTTAATCATTGTCTATTATTAAAAAAAACGCCATCAGAAGTTTTTATCTTAAAAGTTAAATAACATATTAAAAGGAGCTCTGCTTAAACTCTTTAGTTAATTATAGATGTCCTACTCTGAATTACTAATGTTTATATTAATTTATTTATTCAAATTAGTAAATCATGGTGGTTATACTCTGTATATTTTGGATTGGGTTAATTATACAAAATTATTAATAGTTTTTTTAAAAGTAGGAATACTCAAGACCTTTGACTAAAAAAAAAAGTACAAACAATAATCAGAATACCATGTAGGATATATGGTATATTTGTATAAAGTCTATTATAAAGGAGGGTCCCGACAAATATTTATTGTAAACCATTTACAATTATTAAGGATAAACAAAATTTTGGCTGATTAACAAAAAATGTAATAAAAATAAATATTATAGAAATCATAAGTTTTGACAATAATATTCATTTTTATAAAAGTACTATTTTTAAATTACGGAAAGATTGGTTTTCGTTTATTTATATATTTAGTTTTATTTGTTATTTATAAAAATAATTATAATAATATACTAAATTGATTTATTGATTGCCACATAACGAAAACTATGAATAGTATAATGTTTATTTTTATTATTCCTGGAAATTAATTTCAAAAAAGACTTCTTTTTAAGTATAAAAAAGTATTTAATTAAAATAAAAATAATCTAATAATTTTTATATTAAATGTTATCACAGTGATCTTACTATAAATTTTATCATGTTATCAATAAAATATTTTATCAACCGATTTTAAAAATTCATGATAATAAAATCTTTAGCCATGCGTAATTTTAATTAAATTCTATGGATTTTTTAAATAAGGAAATTAATTTGATATATTTTTTCTATTCTTTTCAATATTATTTTATTAGACAGTAAAAAGTATGGTAGTTTAATATCTTCATAAATAAGTCATTAAAAGTTGGATTATCATAATATATTTTAGTATGTCTTCTAAAGTATCATCTTTTTTACGTTTTAAATGCATCAATCAACGGAAATCAATTAATGAATTGTATGTAGTATTTAAACACAACTAATGAGTATTTTATTGTTATGGTTTTGACAAAACCATAACAATATATATTCTTACATACATTATTTGTTCGGGTATCTACGTTTAATACAATTTAAAATTATTACATTCATTTTAGTATTTGAACAACATGTCATATTTATATAACAAGAGATAAATAATTTAAAATAATATCTAATGAACTTTTTTAGTAGTATATCATGTCAGTTCTCATCGAAAGTTCAAAATTCTTGTTCATTTCAACAACCACCTCTTACAGAACCCTTGCCAAATCTGCCAAATATATTGTATAGTTCACCAAACAAAAATTCAGTAAAAACAGAAATCACTAAACTATCTAATGGAATAAGAGTAGCAACAGAATCGTCTCATGGAGAATTTTGTACTGTTGGAGGTATAAAAAAGTTATACGCTTTTATTGAATTAATAGTACTTAATTATGAAAATATATTTATGATTAGTTGGAATAAATTCTGGCTGCCGCTATGAAGCATCTTATCCAAATGGTGTAAATCATTTTCTTGAGAAATTAGCTTTTAGTGTAAGTAATAGTATTCATTAAGAATAAAGATTTGAATTGTAAGTAGATTGATTATTTAATGGTTATGTTTCAATAGTCAACAGTAAACTTTCCCGGAGTCAATCAAGTAATTGATGAAATTGAGAAGTATAATGGTTTATCTGATGCCCAATGTTCAAGGTAATTCTGTGTTCATTGTAAAATAACTTCTAAAGTTTATTAAATATTGGTTTATTCTTCAGAGATGTTACAATGTATGCTGCAAGTGCTAATAGGAAGTATGTAGATAACATTATTAAAGTTTTAGGAGATGTAATATTAAGACCAAAAATAACAGATGATGAGGTAATCCTTTTTCTTATAAAAAATACACCTAAAACGTAAAAAGAAAATTTAGATATTCTGTTTAAAATTTATATTTGAACATGCTTTTCTAAAGTATTTATTATTTATATGACATTTAATGGTAGCAAAACTCATTTCTTTAAAATTTTAATTTTAAAATACTTAATTTTTTTTCAAACTCGAATTTTAACAATTTTTAACTAATATTAAAATGATGAATAATCTACCTAAGAAAAAATAGTTGCAATAAATAACAAGAAACATATAACAGATTTAAAATTTTTTGATAAGCAAGGTTACATGTAAACAATTTCAATTTTTTAGGTTACATGTAAAAAATTTCAATTTTTTTTAGCTTCCAGAAAATTTTTGAAAAATATTGTTTAATTGTTTTTGTGCGTGTTTTTCCACTTCAATCGATTGATTTTATTACTTTAATATTTATTAAAATGTTTATATTAATGTTAAATAGGTGATGTCTGCTAAAAAAATGATTCAATTTGAACATGATACATTGATGTTAAGACCAGAACAAGACATATTATTAGAAAATTTAGTGCATATGGTAAATATTATTTCTCACTGCCGGGACCTTGAAATAAAAATACTAGAGAAACAACCTCAGGACTTATGTACATTAAAAATTTGATTTATCTCATCAGACTATTCATATTTTAGGACATGATACATATTTTTTTTTGTATAAAAAAATAGTAAACACTTTTTTGATGAGAAAAGAAAAAAGTTATGGAGACAGCAAAATTGAGTACCTTAGATGGCATAGTTCCTAACTGCATTTCTTATTACTTGTAATTGATCTTAAGAAGTAAAAAAATGGAAGAGCATTTAGTATATGCTAAAAAATCTTTTAATTAAATTGCTTATATAAATAAATAAATTTGAAAGTTTTTTGACATACCTTACAATAAGAAATAGAGTTTCAAATCATACCTATAAAAATTGTTGATCTCTTTTCTTTGATCTTGTCTAAAATAAATCTTTAAAAAAATGAATTTGATAATTTTTTTATGTACAGGCAGCTTTTAAATGCAATACATTAGGAATGTCTAAATTATGTCCTCTTGAAAATGTTGAGAAAATTAACCGCAAAATTCTTATGACTTACCTTAAGAACCACTTTGTACCTGATAGAATTGTGGTTGGTGGTGTTGGAGTTGATCACCAACAACTAGTGGAAAGTGTACAAAGGTAAAAAAAATTATATGCATTTAATTTTCTTTATAAAGGTGCTAAAATTAAAAAATTGCAGATATTTTGTGGAAGAAAAGCCAATATGGAGTAATGAAAAACTTGAAACTATAGCAGTGGACAATTCAATACCACAATACATTGGAGGAATTATTATGGTGTTTTTTCCTATTTTTTGCTTACACTAATTTATTTTCAATTGTAAAATTAATCATATTTTGTTATTAGGATAATTGTGAAATTCCTCCATTTCCTGGACCATCAGGTCTAGCTGTTTTGTCCCATCTAGTTATTGGACTAGAGTCTATCCCTATGGTTGGAAAACAGCAAGATTTTGTAGCATCTTGTGTACTAAATTTGATGATGGGTGGTGGAGGAGCATTTAGTGCTGGTGGACCAGGTAAAGGAATGTACACTAGACTTTATCGAAATGTATTAAACAGGTAATATTGTGTTGCAAATAGTTTTTTAACAACTTTTATATTTCATTTATTTGATGAGTAGATATGGTTGGCTGTTTAATGCTACTGCTTACAACTATGCTTATGTTGATGGTGGATTATTTTGCATTCATTCAAGTGCAGAACCACAATATGTTAATAATTTGGTAAAAGTTATTGTGCAAGAAATGGTTAACATGACTGGTAGTATACAAAGAGAAGAATTCTTAGTAAGAATTAAATAAAAAATTTATTTTTGAAAATTGAACTCCAATTTATCATAACTTAAAAAATATTCTTTTTTTATTATAGAGAGCAAAAAAACAACTGCAATCTTTACTATTAATGAATTTAGAAGCGCGTCCTATCATATTTGAAGATATGATAAGACAAGTTTTGGCTACTGGTTATCGGAAAAAGCCAGAAGAACTTTTACAAGATATTGGTAGGTTCATTAATTAAAAAAAAAATGTAGATAATGTTATTACTTAACTCATTTAAATTAGAAAATGTCACTGAAGAGGACATAATAAGAATTGCAAAACAAATGATTGATACACCTCTGACAGTTGTTGCACGTGGTGATGTTAGACAATTACCAGCTATAGAAGAAATTCAAGAATTAATGTCTATGAAACCTCGAGGAAAATTTTTTGGTCGTTTTTAATTACTATGTAAAATGTATATTTCAACATTTTATTTGAAGTTAACAATATTTTATTATAGAAAATATAAATTCATTTGCATTAAATATATTTGTTAATTTATTAAATTTTTAATTTTATTTTGCTGCTGCTATTATACTTATAATTTTTTAAGGCCAAACACGCCCATAGAAAGAAATATAGTAATTTCTTATCATTAAAACTTTTTTTTATTATATTTCATTTTTGCTTCTTATTTTTATTCTAAGTACATTTATGTAGAAAAATGACAGAAGTGAAGAATGAGAAATCTATTAAATTTAGTTAATAGAGTTAAGTTATAAATAATAGATATTAAATATATATTGTACCTTTCACAAATAATTATTTTGTCTTAAGCTGGAGTTCATCCTATCTTCATCTCTGGACACTTTCTGATATTATATGTTTATATTATAAATATTAAGGATTTCATCTTCTAAAGTTATATGATCAATATTTTGAAATAATTAGTATTATTGATATTTGAATTAAATAAATTAAAAATTTGTTCATAAATTATTATTTTAACTCACTTTTAAATAGTGATTATTGAATCTTCCTTGAGCCTCTGCACTTTATTTATACATTATCAATACATAAATCATTCTTTTCTCTTGTTTAAAAAAACAACACCAAAAAATTAATAATAATAAATTATAACCTTAATTAATGTATAACATATTTCATTATATAGTTTAAGCTATAAGTACTAAAAAATTCAATATTTAATACAAAAAAACCCAGCACCCTACTGTGCTGTTATAATAATCATAATAGTTACGTAATTAGTATTTCGTCTTGTTGGGTTATACTAAAAAAATACCCAGCACAGTGGGGACGTGGCATAGTTGGGTCCAATATAAATTTAATCTGACAGTGATTTAAATCACTATCGTAAAAAACGCTTCGTTGCAAATCTGTAGATGGTGTTTAATTTTAAAAATTTGATGGATTATTCCAAAAGCAACATGATCTCCTGTTTTCTTATTTATATCCTAAATACAAGTTTTATGGTTTATAAGTGTAATATATGATTAAATAATATAAATATCAATAATACTTATCTTAAAAAAAATATAGTAAACCATATATTTTTCAAAAAGTTATAACTTTATAAAGTTAAAATATAAAAAAAAAATTTTTTACAAAAATCGTATTTTATTTATCAACTTTGATGTGTGTTTTCACCGTGAAACAAAATAGTCCCAAATTATTTTTTTTTTTTATTAAAGAATATTGCATAAGCTTTAATTTAAGATATGTATAAAAATTTCCGAATCACTTCCAAAAATTAAGTTGAAAAAGTTCTACTTTCTATATGCTTTTTTAAGTTTTGAACCCCCTCTGTATATAAGGTAATGGTCAGATTAAAAAAAAAGTAAGTCGAATGAAAGAGGTATATACATATTATTTCCCATAAAAAAATTATATTGATCCATACATTTTTCAAAAAGTTATAGAAATATAAAATTAAAAATGTAAAATATAAAATCGACAATTTTAAGAGCAAAATACGGTATCCATTTTCATCGTGAAAACTAAACAAAGTCAGACAATTTTTTTTTCCATAATAAAGTATATTACATTAACTTTAATTTAAGATATATACATAAAGGGTCTCCGTATTTTCGGAACACTTTCAAAAGTTAAGTTGAAAAAGTAAATTTTTTGTAAAAAAGTTGTCATTTTGAATCCTTTCCTTGAGCACGTTAAGGGTCAGATTTATAAAAAAAATATACAAAATAATAGGTAAATATCCCATGTATCTAATAAAAAATTATATTGATTTGATAATTTTTAAAAATGTTATGGCAATTTTAAGTAAAAAAAATTAAAAAGATGTCAAAAATTAGCGATTTTTAAATTTAAAATTTTTTTAGAGATTTCCCTCATTTACGGAGAATGAGGGAAATTTTTTCAATTTTTGAGGGTAATGTCTTTGATTAAATAAGATTTGTGATCTTTTGACGTATAGTTGAAAGACATCTGTACGGTGAGAGCTGAGAAAAATTAGTAACAGACATACACCCAAAAAAATTACATAATTGTAAAATTAATACCTTCTCAGCATCGCATCGAATCTAAAATATTTTAAAAAAAGGGTTCAATTACATGAAAATTAATATTCACAATTCATTTGAAAATATTAATTACTTACTCACATCCCATTTGAAGGTTGAGCTGCTGCATTAGTGGACGATTCATGATCCACTATACAAGTCTGCATCGTTTATATATAAGAAAAATGACATAGATAGTTCTGTTCAAAATTCGTTAGAGTAGATGTTTTATAAGGAAATAGTTAAGTGAAAAACGATCATTTTTCAGAAAACCAAAAACTATATAAAATAGACGTGGGGGGAATATAACTTTATCTGGGGCATCAAAACTTTAAATACGTCTCGGGGTAAATGGGACTTTTCAGATAAAAATTACAACAAAAAAATTATCTTAACTACTTATGAAAACAAAATTGATACCGTCAGGCACAATAAAAAGTTTTAAATAAAATTGATATATAACCAAACATTTGTCTTTTTACAACAATGACGCTGTTACCACCAACACATGATTATTTTTCTTTAAATTGAATTTGTGTCAATAGTTGTGGATTTTACTAGTTTTTTTGAAGAAGAGGATATCTTGAGAGTAATATGTAACTGAAATATGTATCAGAATGTTATCCTATATATATATATAATATAATGTATGAATATTGATATTCGAGTGGACATATTTTTTTCGTAATATAACACTGTATTTCAGACTCAAGAAAAGATTAGAATAAATGTTAAAATAAATAATTATTTAATGAACGTAATTATGGATTCATTGGTGCAATTATGAGCGTGGTATGGATGTCATATATCCTCATAACAAAAATAATCATAGGGCGAAGATACAATTTTTTTCGTTAAAGGAAAGTGAACCCTTTTTAGCTTCGATGCGAAGCTGAGAAGGTATTAATTTTACTATGATGTTTTTTTTTTGGGTGTGTGTCTGTTACTACTTTTTTTCAGCTCTCACCGTACCAATGTCTTTCAACTATACGTCAAAAGATCACAAATCTTAAATTAAAGTTAATGTAATATACTTTATTATGAAAAACAAATTTTCTGACTTTACGGTGAACATAGGTACCGTACGCTATTTTTGTCTTAAAATTCTCGATTTTATATTTTACATTTCTATAACTTTTTGAAAAATATATGAATCAATGCAATTTTTTTATGAGAAATAATATTTATATACTTCTTTCATTCGACATACTTTTTTTTTTATCGGACCATTTCCCTTTATACAGGGGTGATCAAAACTTAAACTTTTTCAACTTATTTTTAATTAAAATGTATATAATGATTATTCATACGTAACCTAATAACTAAACATTTTGTTACATTAATTAGAAGGATTTTATTATTATTTAGGCCATATGCGAAACTCTAATTGCAGATATGAAATTGGTGTAAAAATGGGTTTAGAAAAGTATATTTTGGTTTCGGATGAAAATTCTTCGTAGACCAATAAATTTATTTATAAATAACAAACAATTTTATTTTTTAATATTGCATCAAGACCTTTAACTTTTTATATGTTTGCCATAAAAGTAATGTCTACTTTATAATTTCTCCGTAAAAATGACAATATTAAATTATTAAATATCAATTTCATATTTTATTTAATTGCTATAATAAATGATTATTCATATATTACACTTATAAATCATAAAACTTGTAATTAGGATATAAATAAGAAAACAGGAGATCATGTTGCTTTTGGAATAATCCATCAAATTTTTAAAATTAAACACCATCTACAGATTTGCAACGAAGCGTTTTTTACGATAGTGATTTAAATCACTGTCAGATTAAATTTATATTGGACCCAACTATGCCACGTCCCCACTGTGCTGGGTATTTTTTTAGTATATCCCAACAAGACGAAATACTAATTACGCAACTATTATGATTATTATTATTATTTATGTAGGTAAAATTGTTTTGACAACTGTCTATTTTGTTCTGATTTACATTTTTACCAATGATGTCTTCAATATAATTTAACTATTTTTTGTGGTATATAGGTACTACTTTTATCATTTTAGGCTATTCATATTGTTTAAAACTGCATATATTAAGAAAAGATTCATTTCTGTTGAAATAAATTACTTGTTTCACATTAAGTCGACTATTAGTGATTTCTAATTACCTAACCATTCTACTGCAAAACTACTCTTTCTCAACATTACCGACTGTTGTTTAACAGTTTTAAGAAGATGCAAACATTGAAATTCATTTAAAAAAAAAACGATTTTATACTTTATTAGCTCTTTTATGATTTTTAAAAAAATTTTTTAAAGAGATGATCAGTATAAAATGTATAAATATAAATAGAAAAATTAAAATAAAAAATTTAACTATTGTTTCATAATCATAGTCAAGCTTTAATAGTCTACGTTTATTAACAAATTTGGACCATTATTGTTTTACTATTAATTATTATTAACAATAGGCTGGTGAATCTATAAATGGGTCTTTATATTATGTATCCGTTATTATCTCAAATTGTAACTCTTGGAAATAAAATAATGAAAAATGTCGATCAACTATATATATGCTTCAAAGATAGATTAATATTAGGGATTGTGTTGATATTCGTTTTATTTAATTGTACTAGTTGTTATTTGTATAAAAATTATTCTGAAACTCTCTATGTCGTTTCGTTATATACTACAGTACTATCCGTCTCAAAAGTGGAGATAAAATCGGTACACCGGTTTAGGGTCGCACATATTATAATATGTATATAATATTTGTATCTAGTATGAATGTTGGTTAGTATAGCACAATCCTTAGAGATCGAAAGTGGTCGTACGTACAGCATCGCATGCCCACTTGTCAGCAGTAGCAACCGGTACCGGTAACAGCAGCGACCGAGGAATTAATTTCTCCTTCTGCCTAAGTTTTCATCAGATCAATGCGCCAGTTCAATAATCGTGTCTGAATTGTATAAACTAAATCAAAATATAATGTTTTAAAATTTATAAGTAGCGCGAACTTTTTAAATTAAATTCAATTCGATTTGATTTACTTTTTTTATTATACATAATCTTCTTCCATGAATTTTAAAAAATATTAAATTCGATTTACTTGTTGTTATAATTTTTATAGAATTTTATATATTTTCTTAAACGTAAATATGAATATTCTGAAAAACACAAAAACCTTAATTTTCTTAACATTATTTATGTGCTTCTTTTCAAGTTACAGTCAGACAACTACTGCAAGAACACCTCATAAAATCAACGAACAACCTACAGGTAAATTAAAAAAAAAAATACTAAAATTATTATAATTTTTTTTTTTTTTTGCTAATAACGGGTACTGTTAAGACTTGACCTAGGAGTTGTTGTTCATTTGTGTCCTTTTTAAAAAAAAATTATTGATAATTGTTTATAATTAAAACTAAAGAAAAATAAAATATCATCCTACATATGAATTGTCATTATTATTAGTGAAATTTTTAAATTCGTTAATATTTATAAATAGTTATTGGGTATATTTTTGATTACATTTATATGTTCCAAAACTATTTATTAATATATATTAATTTCGGGATGAAGTATTTTACATGTGTTAAATACTTTTATCTGATGTGAATTAGTATATTTAATATCAATTGATATCCACAAAAGAAATGCAAAGTAAAAAACTGCCTCCAATGTTGAATTTAAATGAAGTTAAATTTTGATCAACATAGAAGGTTGACGTGACAACCAAACTAATTTCAAATCAAGAAAAATATAAATAAATTCAATAGTTTTTCATAGCCTTCTATACTAAATTGGGATTTATTTTATAATTTTGCATCTTAACCTCATACAACAAAGACCTGATATTTACTGACACCTTTAATATTACATTTAATACATTATACCACTGGGTACATAATTTTTATTGTAAAAAGGGGTAAAATCACATTTATCCAATAATTATAAATACAAATTCAAGCCCTTATTATAGAGGGCTTATAATTTTACATTGAAATTATATATTTATTAGGATTTGATCAATATCTAAATACAAACTAGATACGTTTCATAGTGTTTTACACATTTTTTATAACTAATATTTACATAACTATTTTTATTGTTTTATCATTATGATATCATAACTTTAATTACGGGATTACGACTTCAGGGCAAGTATATTTTATAATTAAAATTGCAAAAACTATAATAAAAGATTTTTGTTGTTATATCTCAGCACTTAAATAGATCTAACGACCATTTGCTACTATTTATTTTCAAAGCCGTAAGTTTTTAAAGCAACAATACCGTTTATGTTTTGATCGTGAAACACTCAATGACTGAAAATCGTACATACTATTTGGCTTTCACTTGTTTATTACTTAAAACTATTATAATGTACATAAATACAACTTTACTCACTAATAATAAAGAAATAGATGGTAAGTATATAATCTCCTTTATATGTGTACTGATTAAATAGCTAAATAAAATGCCACAAGTTAAAGTTTTTTATCACTCAAATAATGAGTTCTATTGTTTAGTAAATTTAATCTTTAAACTCGGAAACAATCGAGAGTCCTTTTATGGCAATCGGACAGTAGGTATACGGATTCTATAAAAACTTTAAATTTTAATGGAGCAAGAAACAGTTAGTAATATTTAAATTATAGACAAATAGTATTTGAATTACTTCATGTAATATCAAATATTTGTTCATTAATTATTAGGGATCATTTATACTAAAATAATATGAATTTGTTCTCGTTTTCAACTTTTTGTCGTAAAATAAGATAATAGCAAATATTTCAATTCAATAATATTATAATTGAATAAAAAAACACTCTCAATATTTTGACATGAGAATTTCTAAATATTAAGATGGTAATCAAATAGTGGACATGGTTGGTCAAATGTGTATATTGTTATTTCAAGGATATGGAATGTGAAATTATATAATAGATTCTTTAGAACACCTATAGTTTAATATACAAAGCATATATCAAATATATGAAGCTGCGATAGTTTATAAAATAGTTTATAAATGTCCTTGATGAATAACTTTGTTGTACATTAATACGTAATAAATAATAAAACAGTTTATACTTAAAAATTAAAACTAGATTAAAAGTATTTAACTCAAATAGCCACAAAGATTACTAAAAAAACGCGGACACGTATTTCGCTAATAATGTTACCATTATCAACGATAAACTCATACTCTCATACTTTTAATAAAACTAAATAAATTAGAATAGTTAAAAGACTTGATTATAAAACGTGCCACTTTTTAATTAAAGCATATCCTTCTACTCATTTGGAATTTTTTTAATTAAATAGCTAATACATATTAATACTTAAAAACAAAAATGAGAGGTCTGACAAATCTAAGAACCGTAAATATTTGCCAACCAGTAATTAGATAATTAGTAAACGATTACGAGGGTAGGTTAACGGAAAAGTTTTAATTTAAGAAAGTACACCAATATTATTTGATTAAACTAATTTTTCCAATAGTTTGTTATTTAGGGTCCAGTCAATTAAAGCATGCAAAATATAACAATAACTACGAAGTCTTGAGATTAAATTTTTGAAATTGTAGGAAATAATCTAAATTTTTGTTGTATAAATGTGATTGAGAATAAAATCATAATATAAAATAACCTAAAATAAGGTAATATGTAAAAAAAAATTATACATTTAATTTATTAGTTTTGTTTAAAACCTATTAAACCTAATATTTATAAAAATTATTCTTTTAATAAAATGAGTCTAAAGTTTTGCATAACATCTAATATATGATGGATACTTCTAGATTATTGATGTTATAGGAACCAATATGAATTATGACAGTCACTTGTTAAAGTAGTACTAGGAAGAAGACAGGTTTTTAGTTTTTTTGTAGAATATAAATAATGTATGACGCATTTACTTTCATAATCCCAAAACGGACATAATTGAAGCAATGATACATTATGATAATAAAATTGTAAAAAAATTATACAAATAGGTAACATGTAATTTGTTTTAGAAATCTGAAATCTACCATCAGTAACCAGTCATAAATACGTTTCTATTCTGACTTTTTAATCTGGTTAAGAAAATGTAATTTATATGTTATAATTATCGTAGAAAATTGACGGTAATTATCAATGTTAATTAAAATTTTTTTAAATATACTTATATAGTCGTCGAAAGTTAAATTCTAAACTTTGCGCTCTGCAAAGTGCAATATCATATAATTATTTGTTTTTATCATATAATCTTTAAAAAGACTGTTTACACGCGATAATACATTTTAGTGCATTATGAAATTTTCATAGACAGTGGACGTGTACAATTATTATTACATCAAACCGAAACTATTTTTTAACCAATTTTTATGTCGCATAGTGGTGTGTTTAACAATGACAATAAATGTAACATTCACCTTTTAACACTGTGATTAAATAATTAATTGCTAACCGCAACAGAGACAATAGGCGGTGTTTAGATTGAGACTAGCAATTAATTCGGTAAGAAAGCTGTTAATACAATAGCTGTTAATAATATACGTTTAAAGTGGACACTCTTCGCTATTGGCTTCGAGGCTTTTTTTTTAAGTATCCGCGACGCACGGTGCGCTCTTGTATCAACGCTTAGTCCAATTGAAGGTCGTGACCAGTAACTTCTTCTTTTCTGTCATGCATGGAAAGTGTGTGTACTTTTATTCGTAAGGGAACGTCCATTGTGTAATACGACCGTGGCGTTCGACTGGCATCAGTGAACATAATTTCCTCGTCCACAAATATATATATGTCTCTCTATACATACAAGAAGGTACGACCCGACTTGTTGAGAGAAAGTAGGTAACAATATATATTATTTTATTATTTATTCTTGGCCGTAATTTATGTCTCCAAACTCATTTTTCACGCTTTTGTGTGTACAACTTGGATTTTCAAAATCACTCAAATGATAATAACAACTAATATTTCGTTACAGCGGCTGTAAAATTAATGATAATGCCATTACCCTGCGCAATATTGCTTTCTAGATATTCTTAAGTTCTTCTAAACATAGTCATACATTGATCATTATCAATCCAGCAAAGTTATGTTTATAATGGACATAGGTCAACACTTAAAGAGCACTTGTGCTAAATAACAGATTTATTATGCAACTATTTTAGTTCGTCAGCGCTGATGTTCTTTTAAAATGTAAACATTAGAGTTTTATTACAATTATAGACACCTAAATGTGTCAGCATCTCAGATAAAAAGATGGTATAATGTTCACGTGTAATTAATTGAACACTACTATTTATACTAGAACAACACTTAGTGACATGAATATTAACTTTTTGGCGGTTTTGAAATATTTTTATTTCACCTATACTAATATGGATGTTCTAATATTTAATAAATTACTCAATAGATGAATTTTGTTTTTTGGTATTTTAATATTTATTTATTTTATACAAATATAGGGGATTAAATCTAAAATTAAAACAATTTTTTATATATAACAAAATTATTATTAAATAAAAAAAAATATACCATACAAAGTATGCTGTCATTTTGCAACGAATCAGATATAAAAATAATAATATTTCAGTAAAAATATGTAAAATTATTAATAATTGAAAATGTTTTTCCTGAATACTAGACTCTGTTATATTTTAGCCCTCTTATATCTTTTATAATCTAATGATAAAATATACCTAAAGAAGAATTCTTTAAATCGACGATTATCTAGATAAAATTTAACTTTATTATATTTACTTAAAATAGGTCGTTAAATAGTAATTATACTTATATTAATATTGTATAATACTTAAAACTGAAAATTAATATTTTTGCATTCTAATGATTTACTATTAAAAAAACTAGTTATACATTATATACAATAGATAATATAATCATTAGGTATTATAATGTATTACGCAGAATATAGCGGTTGACGGTTAGTTTTTTTAAAACTATAATAAGTTTAGAGATCATAAGGATTATTTTAGCAGTCAATTATAGTTAAATGGTTTTTCACGCAATTTTCAATTCATTTAATATAATTCCACTTGATTTTTTAGAGATTGAATTTATTGTAAATTAAATATTTTTATTAATTAATTTTTTTATTAATATTATTCAAAGTACAAAATATTTTTTTAATATATGCAAATAAAAAATATTTTACAAGTCCAATAATTTTTGGAGTCTGCTAAAATATTTAACATATGTGTTTGTCTTCTTGTTCGTTTTTATAAAATAATTTAATACTCTTCATTTAGAAACACAATTTATCCAAAATGTTTGAATGTTAATACTTGGGCCAGATCCAATAATTGTGTAAAATATAAAAATACTTACAAATGAATGTGATTATTTATTATAATTGAAAGTTTAATTATTCATCAATCATCAAAAATGATCGATGATACATTAACATTTACATTATTAATTCCAGAAAACAATTTGCTGCCTTTTATTATAAAAATGTACTTAAGTATTTAGCATTATATAAAGCCAATTTTTTACTATCTCTATTAAATGACATACGTTAAATTAGAAATTTATAATGAAATATATTACAAAATTTTTAAGACAAGCATTTACATGACTTACCACATATTATATTATTTAACATTATTGGCTCGTGCACAATCAATAATATTTTCAATACGTTTGATGATAACAGTAATTGTCTTCTATTCACTACTATCATCAATACTTTTAATGGTCCTAGATTCAGAAGTGTACTGTTAGTGCGAATAAATCTCTTTTGTAATGGTTGGTACTTCCACCCATTTATCTTACCAAAAATTTGAAAGTTAAACAGTAAATATCTCTCCTTCCTTTTCCTGAGATAAATGATAACTTTGATTAATTTTTTAATAGGTCTTTATGGGACTGAGCCCCTTTAAACTCTTACATTATTTCAACAAAAGTTTTCACCATATGGTTTGTAACAGAAATCTTGACAATACTACCATTAAACATTCAATATTTATCATTAATAAACTCTGTTAATTCACCTCAAACAAAATTTATTTCTGTAAACTTGATTAATCAAATTTTAACTTGCATCTTCTGGACGATTGCTCAAATCAATCATCATTTTCCTTCAATATATTGATTCGAATTTCGTCAATATTATCAACCATATTAGTTTAACTAACTATATGTTGGTTTTATCACTCATTTAAATTAAATAGAAATAAATCTGTTTAAATTTCAAGTCGGATTACTAATATTATGGCATGTTATAAATGAACGAATAGATCATCAATTTTCTTTGAAATTCATTGGAAATAGCCTGTAACGTGAGAATTATTTGTGTGTAGGTGCTGTTGATTTAATGAAGCAGAATAGCATAACTCAGCAAATATTGGCTCAATACTTGCAAAAACGTTTAATTGGGACGGGGAGGAACGTTCATCATCAGTTAATACCAAATGTCGATATCCGAAAATATACTGAAAACCCCTACAATGAACAACTAAACGAAGAGGAATTAATTGAAGACTCTCAACCCGTATTTGATCAAGGTCAGAAGAATATTTGTTTCATGTTTAAAATAAATTCAGTAAACAGTACCGAAATGACCAAAAAAATCGTTTTTTTTTTTATAAAATCTAAAATTTGTATTCAATGACCCTAATTAAAATTCGCAGAACAATTTTTGAATTATGTATTATTTTCATATAATATTAATTAATTTTCTTTCTTAAAAAATAAATCATGTAATGGGTTTAATGGGCTTCATTCCAAGATATCCCTTAAACGTAATGTAATGTTGATCTACAGTAAATACTTAGATTTTGGAGGAACAAAATCTGAAACATGATAATTAAATTATTGTCAATTTGTAACGTTCTTTGGATAAATTTGACTTAAATTACTTGATCAAAAATAATTTATATGACATCTATTGTGGTATAAACATAAAACTCATTACAATATCAAAAAAATATTTGCTATGGCTGTTACATACAAAATACAAGATATTTTACAATTTTTAAACGTGATCATCTGTATAACATTAATGCAGTTAAAAATACATTGAAGTATATTATTGTTTTTTGAGCCAATGTAAAAGAATAGAATATAGAAACTTGTTTTAGGAAATAGAAATTTAAATGAAATTTCTTATTAAATCGTAATTTTTATCATATTAGTTGTTAACATACCATTGTTAATCTGACCTTATATAGAGAAATAATTTTTCTACTTCACACGACTGTTACATATTATACTTGACGCACGATATATTATTCATGGGGTTAGGTCACGATCAAGTTTTTTTAGATACTGAGTCCTTGACCAATTTATAAAAATATTTTGAGGTAGATAGATGCTATATTTATATATTAATATATATATTTATAGCTCTATGAATTATAATTATAGTTTAGACTAAATTTCAATCAATTAATCTTAATCTATTCATAAATATTAAAAATAAAATAACAAAAAAATATGGTTTAATGAATTCTTATATTCCTACACTATACAAAACTATTAACATTTTTTATATTTCAGAAAATGACCTCTTACAATTTTTTATTCTAATAGTATTGTTGTGTATTATTAACTTTATCGGGGCAAGATTTTGCGGGACTCTGGGCAAAATAAATTATAATTTATGTGGGGCCTTCACTAATATTACGATTTTAAAACCGACGAACCTTAAATATAATTTGGAACCGTGGGGCAATTGCTCCTACTGCCCCCCTCGCACTGTCTTTGTTCAAAACTCGCCTAAATATGAATCATATCATAGTAGTGTTAAACATGAAGATTTCAGTATAATTTGAAAGATGTTAGACTTTCAATAAAAGTGCATTATTGTATTTTCCTGGTAACTGAATATAATTTTATATTATTAAATAAATGCTGCAATCCTATTAATTATTTTTCATCTTAAATAAAAGTTATACAATAGTATTACAAATAATATATATTTCTATGAAGCATTGAAACTAATGTAATAATTTTGACGTGTGAAAACCCAATTGGAATTGATATAATAATATTTTTATTATTGTATTTCTTAGGTATTTTGCACAATATAGACCCATTAATATTCAAATAGTTATGCAATACGATTTTAAAATGAATATATTTTCATTTTTATTGTACGTCCTAATTATTTTAACAGTAATTGAAGATCATATCAATAATCTCTTTCAGGTAGCGGGTAAATATTACACATACTTGGTAAGAAAAATAAATAAAACACTATATGATAATAAACAGAAGAAAATTTCGAAATTCAATGTAACTACAGAATTATAAACAGCTATCATCTATTGTTAAGAACATGTAAATAAATATTTTGCGTTACTTTACATATATCATAGTTGAATAGGTTACTTTAACAATAAAACGGATTTTAGTTATTAAATATTCTTAAGTATATTTACACAATATGTTTTACCGTTAAGCATGAAAAATTATATTAATATTTATACTGATACTATCTATCTATATATATATATATATCCACAATGTTTAACAAATATTGTACGATGAATTTTTTAAATCATAATTTATATTTATATAATTTATAAATAATTATATTATATATAATTTATTTAAAAACATAATTTATCATATGCCACTAAATTTAATCGGATTAAGAGCCAGTGGAAAATGGTTTCTATAGGTAATATATTATTTATGAAACCTATTGGTAGGTTCTAATACTCTAAATATTTGAGGTCTGCTTAAAAATATCCATTCTCAGGATCCCACATACCATAATTTTACCCTTAAATTTATATACCAAATTAACAGTTAATATACTTTTTATTAACAAACTTAATGTTTTTGAAGATAATTGTACATTTTTTATTTGTTCCTTTATTATAGTATTTTTTTAACGATTACATTCAATATATTTCTTTTAAAATGAATTTTCTTAACATTCATCTCAGTGAATTAGCCGAATTACTGTGTCTTAACTGAGGATATTCACAATAGACCTGTTGAATATATTGGCGCTCGTGTGTAATATATGTGATAATATATTTGACTTAATGTATATTAAATTCAAACCTTTTTTGAAAATTTATTTACAGATAACTAAATTTATCAAATAAATAAAAAATAGTAGTATAGTCAAATAATTGTTATTTTATATGCAATCTGAACAAAATGTTTGGTAATTGAACTTCTCACATTCCTATCGTTTCTGCATAAAAATACATGTAACTTTCATAATTTTTTGGAAAGACCAAGCCCTTTAAAAATCTCATCCAGATTATGCCTATGGTAAAAAACAATAAATTTATTACTTTACTAATTCGGGTGTTGTGTATTTATTTTAAAAACATACTTAATATTAGTCTCATTAGATGTATTACATTGTTAAGTATAAAGGTATATAATTCTTTTTCAGGAGAATGTAGCAGTAGTAACTGTGTAGAATCAGACACTGTTTCAGCTAGTAAACTTTCATTGCAACTTTTGCGATCTGGCGACAAAAAATTATACTTGGGAATATTTTTCAAAGTGAATAAAAATTTCCTTCTGTTTATTATACTAAATATGGTAATGTCTTATTTGGTTTCCAGGCTAATTGGTACAAAGCAGCACAGTACTGCAGATATCATGGAATGCATTTAGCCAGTATAAGTAGCCAAGAAGAAAATGACAAGTTGGAAAAGTACATTAAAGATTTCGGCAAGTTATTTCTTATTTTGTACTTATAAATAAAACATATATAAAAAAAATTGTTTATAGGAATGGGCCATGAACATTTCTGGACTTCAGGCACTGATCAAGCAGAAGAAGGAACTTTCTTTTGGTTAGCTAATGGTCGACCTATTGGATTTACTAACTGGAACGCAGGCGAGCCCAATAATTTCAAATATGAAAATGGCGAAGAAGAGCATTGTTTAGAACTTTGGAATAGAGATGGAAAAGGTTTGAAATGGAATGATTCACCTTGTTCTTTCGAAACTTATTTTGTTTGTGAAATGTAAATTCAATAAGATTAAAATATATAAATTTAATTTAATTATTTTTGTTTATACTAGTTTCGTAGTGATTTATAATAAGATAATTATTATAACAAGTAATATAGCACATTGTAAATAACATGTATAGTCATCAAACTTGAATCTCATTTCTCAATTAGTATTTTTTATAAATTTGTATTTAATCATGTTCTTACCTTCAATTGATAATAACTAAATAATTAATTGAAAATAAATTCTACAACTTTATTTGAGTAAATATTGTTGAATAATTAGTACTCTTAAAATTTTAAATGTATCACAATATTTAAAATACTTATTATATTATATTAAATTATTTAATAATGAATTAATTGGAACCTAATCAAATAAATTATAGAAACGAATATCCAAGTATTAGATGATAAATCATTATTTTTAAAAAGTATACATAATCAAAGGAACATATGAAAATAAAACAGAAAAATTTACAATTTAGTTATATATTGTATAATAAAATACAATCTTATTCATATATTAGTAAGTTAAGATGTAATAATAATAATACTACATATAGATTATTAATTATAATCAAAATATATGACATTTTATTTATTTTTTATTCATAATTTTTAATAATGAAAAATATACTGTAAATATATATCACATTAATATGGAGGGCTTTTTTATTTTTAAAATTAAGTATTCTTAATTATAAGTAGTTAATAGTCATTAATACAATTATTAATTAATTCATAAATAAATACACATTAAGTACAAAAATATACAAATAGCACATCACTTTGTCAATCAATGATATAATAATACAAAAAATACTAATATAATATAATGCACAGTTCTAATATTACTAATACAATTATTTCAAAATATAGATATTCATTATGTTTTAATTACCAACAATAATCTAAAATACTGTTCTATATTAAAATAAAAGTCAATAACTATATAGTTATCGGAAATTAATCTTTATGGATATAAAAAGGCAAATATTTAAGCTCAATGTTATATGTCATTCTATATTTACCCTGTAAAATAGTTTTGGACGGAATATTATTTTTAGTTTGAAAACTATAAACAGTCTATAACAATAAGTATGTGATATTTAATCACAAATGAATAAAAATGGTAATACAGTCTAGTTATACTGTTACAAATTGTTCTTAAAAAGAAACAACATAAAATTAAAAAAAAAAAAAAGAGTTAAAATTAATTATTACTATAAAAACATGGCATGTCTATATGCATATATATATATATATATATATATATATATATATATATATATGTGTGTGTGTGTGTGTATGTTCATCAAAATAAATATGTGTATGTTTATACTAATATAAACAAAAATTATTAATATGTAAAATTATAAATACAGTTTAAATTATTACTGAAAGTTGGATGTTGTTATAAATTTTTCTTGTTCATTAAGAAAATAAAAATTTAAATAATTGTTTAAATATAAAATCATTATATTAAAAAAATAACAATAATAGCAAAAAGTACTTAGAAATAACATATATCTCATAAAAAATGTCATTTATGAATGTATAAGACAAACATTTATTTTTAGGTCAGATTTTAAGAAATTAGATCTAGTACAATATTAATTTAAAATATAAAGAAAATAATAAATATATATGTAGCCACTATAAAACTCGAGTAATTTAAAAATACTCAACAATCAAATACTGATAATAATTGATTAACTAAACATAAAATGTAAAAGTCAAAAGTGAAAATGATAAAATGGCCACTATGCAAATAGAAGGAGATCATAATAATAGAATTAAAAACAGAAAATTATTTTTTTTATAATAATAAACAATATTTATAGTATCAGGTAAAAAAAGTATACTTAAATCAACCGTTCTTCTGGTGGAGGCTTTAGAACATTGTCCAATTCTACTCTAGGATTGCAGTATTCTTGACAACTAGGACTGTAAGTGCCTCTTGTTGCTCTCTTTTTGCGTGCCATCATAAGAAGTACAAATAAACTACCCATTCCACCAATTAGAAGAATAAGCAGAATAGGTCCAACTATTAAGGCAATATCTGCATAGTTATGTCCCGCAAATACAGGCAGCTATAATACAAATGTTGATTAGCAAAATATAATTATATAAGAATAATTGATAGATATACTAAACTTAACAGCTTGGTTTAAAAACTATATAGTATTTATATTATTTAAATAATTTCCTTTTTTATTTTTACCATCATCTTTAATATTATCATAAACATATAATCTTAATTTTTTATATGGACTGAAAGACAGCATTTTAAATGTTAATATTATCTTTATTAAAAAAAATTATTACCAATGCTAAATTAAATAGTAATTATAGAATAACAATTATTATTTTAATGTCTTTAAATGTTATTTATAAACTATTGTTGTAGTCATTATTTAAAGCTATAATTACCTCGGTGCAATTTTTTCCAACATAACCATTAACACAACTACATTCATAATCAATTACTGAAGAACAACGTTCTTGACAAGTACCTCCATTTCTACAAGGTGATATCTGAAAAAATAAAATCAATAACTTAAATATTTAAGTGTTTATTTGAAATTGCTATTTTATTTATCAAAGAAAGAAAATTGAGATTATTAGATCAGTAATAGAATAAATATTTAGTTTTTCTTCTACTAATAATACCAATATAAATTTTTGAATAGCTTTATAAATCAATAATAAAATATAAATAACTTACTTTTAAACAAGGATCTGGTAGATGGCAATCTATACCACAGAAACCTACTTCACAAATACAATTGAATGATCCTGGTGAATTTTTGCATTCCCCTCTATTGCCACATTGAACATTAAGCTCGAGACATTCATCAATATCAATACTACAGTCATCTCCCGTATATCCTACAAAACAATTGTTTAAGCAAAAATATGCCACCAATAATATTTGATTGAAATATTACCCGTGTCAGAACAATTGCAAGTATATTCATTGATTCCATCAACACAATGTCCTCCATTAAGGCATTTATGTTGGTTGTCAATTTCCACACAATCATCAATATTTTGTTCACATAATTTGCCTTTAAAACCTAAAGGACATTCACAAAATGGAGAAACCTAGAATACATAATTATTTTCATAAATGATTTTTTAAATAAAATAAAATAAATAAAATCAAGTATTACATCAGGTTTACAAACACCACTATTTTGGCATTGATTATCATTACAAAAGACTACATTACATGTAGCTCCCAAATAACCTTCCATACATGAACAAGTGAAGTTATTTCCTGTTGATAAATCTATAAATTAATTATAAGATAAAGAATTATATATTCATAGTTATACTAAAATATATGATTAAATATTAAAACCTTACCAGGCATGTCATTACACTGGCCATTATTTTTGCATGGTATATTAAAACAAGTCACCAATTTTAACTGTTCACACATTTGTCCCTCATATTCATCAGGACAATTGCACTCAAATTTACCAAGTTGATCAATACAAACACCATCATTTTGACAGAGATTTGATGCACATTCATTAATATCAATTTCACAACTGCATAAAAAATAGATAAATTGTTTAGTGATATTATATATATATAAATAATTCAAATAACAAGTTCTATAAAATAATTAAATTATGACTATTAAGATGTATTTTACAAAGGAGAGGAGAATAAATTCTCAGTTACTAAAAGTTTAAAGTAGTTTTCTAAACCTTAAAAAAAAAAAGAACACTGATATTACAGATTATAATAATACAATATATTATTTTTGTTTGTTATATTCCATAATATTTTAAATATATTGTATTATTAAATACAAATTTAAATTAGATTTGAAATTTCAATTTAATTTTTGTTATTATCTAACTATATTCCAACAAAAAATTAATAATTAGGACTTATGAATTTTCGTTCATCACCAAAATTGTTTTTACTTAGCAAACTATTTATGTTTAGGTTTAACAATCTTCTAAACAGCTATTACTTGTGATAAAGAATGAGAAAATTTGGAATACCCAGCTCAACAAAATTAAACCGACATATTAAGGTCTTGCTAACTGAGCTAGATAGGCCAACTATAAAATAAAATAATTAAAACTTACTGTACACCAGTCCAACCAGTTTTACAATTACAAGTGTAATTGGCAATTCCATCAATACATTCAGCTTCATTCTGACATTGATTAGGTAAACATTCATTTATATTTATAGAGCAGTCATCTGCTTCATAACCAGATGGACACTCACAAACATATGATTCTGTGGCTTTTTTACACCTGATTACATAAATAATAATGTATAAATATTTATTTGATACTCAATAATCATGAATAATAACTATAATATAAAATTTAACTTAAAAGTAAAATTCACATATGTCTAGTATTATAAAAAATTAAAAACTGTAACTACTACTTTTGGTGCTATATCATTTTCAGGTTATATTTAAAAATCACTGAAAAAATTAATTAAGTAAATAAAAAAAATTGAATAGATAAAAAAAAAAAAACAAATATTTACAATAACTCAAAACAAAAAAAAATATTATATGTATAGAACTTTAAAGTTGACTATTGAAATAAATTAATTTTACTAATCATGTATTCACATTAACCTGAAGATGGTCTAACATTTAAATTAGAAATAACCATTTTAAATTCTTTATAATACTCTAGGTATTTGTGAATTTACTTTAATGTTGAACTTAATATTACACTTTTATTATTTTTAATTACAAATTCACGCTTTAATTTATTTATAATTAAATCAGCTGTTCTTAACTTTTAAAAGCAGGTACCATTATATACAATATATATCACTCTACAAATTAAACATTAAAATATCTCCATATTAGCAAAAAATTTTAAATTTATAGAGCATAATAAATTGTTTTTCTTAATATAAGTAAAAAAAGGAATAATATATTATATAATCCCTTCTCAAAACAAAATCCCAAGTAAAAGCCACTAGTCGTAATAATTTTTTTTCTAATCAAAAATGTAAATTATATATTTCAAACACTATTTAAAGTATTATTAGGAACTACAAATTTACAAAAATATTTGAATTATTCAAGATACCAAAATTATTTCTATATGCCATAGGTTGAGAAATATTGTATTAAGTAATTATTGGTAATTGCATAATATTTACCTTCCGTTATTTTTACAATCAGTGTCATAACAGAGCAAACAATCAAAATCAAATTTGTAAGTTGATAAAGTTTGTGATAATATAAAATGATCAGTTTGATTATTAGTATTAAGTTGAGAAGGAGTGAAATATGGTAAAAGTAAACTACCAATACGAATTTCTCCGAGGCATCCCTGTAAATTAATTAATTATTTAACAAAATATAATTAAATATGTTAAAACAATATATCATTATAAAATAATATGTTTAGGGACTATCATTTTATTGTCTTAACTATACCAGGGTTCATATATTATTTCTACATCACAAAAATTACCTTGTAAAAGCCACCAGCCGTAGTTATATCATGTTGCATTGCATCTTCAAAGTGTAATCCTAATTCAGATTCAAAAATATCTAATGAATTTGTATTTGTATCAGTCATGTAAGTAGCTTGATCAACATTTATTTCAGACATATCATTATGGTAATGTTCTCCTCTACCTAACAATTAATAATCAAATTAAGATAATATTACTTATTTAAAAATATTTAATAAATAATATGGTCTAAAAATTATTAGAAAAAAATACCTATAAATATAGGATTTGTAGTAATCAAATCTATCCAATTAGTTAATGAAAAATTTCCTGATATAATGAACTGATTTGTGTCATCTATAGCACCAACTAGACCTCCTTGAATTTTATTGTCAGCTAGTTTAAAAACTACAGATGTCCATTCAGAATCAGAATGATCTTTATGTACGTGCTTTAAGTTTATAGAACCACCTTTTTCTAATCTCCATACTATAATTAACTAAAAGAATAATAAAAATACAAATTATAAAGTTTTACAACATTATTACAATGACATACTTGATCTTTATGAGCAATCATTGTAAAGAAAGTGAATTCAGTATCACTAGCTTTTTTCTTGTTTGAAACATACATTATTGTTCCGCCAGTCTTAGTTCGGTAATTTACTTCAATATGTGTTAAAGGAATAGTTTGCTGTCCTTTTACAAACATATATTGTAACATGAAATCTGATGTATTTTGACCAACTAAAGTTATATTAGCTACACATTCATAACCATGGTTTAGATTTCGGCATTCACTACCAAGTGGACAGTCTTGTAATTGACAAAATTCCATTTCTTGACATTGTTTCCCTTTATACCCTAATGGGCATTTACATTGAAAATCATTCCATGTTACAGTACATTCTCCATCATTCTGGCAAGGATTTGAACGACAAGCATCATCTGATAATATTCCTTCTAGTACTTCATCTTGGTTAAAAGATACAGTTCCAAATGCTTTTGGAACAACTAAGTCTTTGTTTTGTACACTTAATGGATAAAATTCTACTACCATAGTGTAAGATCCATTACTTATCTAAATTTCAAAATAATCATAAATTAAAACTTTACAATTTGAAAAATAAGGAAAAATTTAACCATTAAGACAAATTTATTTATATAAGGTCAACAGCTCTTATCTTAACAGAATTAGGAATAAACAGACTAGCAATTATTCTAAAAGTTTATATGCTGTTTAAGGGCAAACATTATTTAATGTCCAGATGAAACAAAATAAAAAGTATTGTAGTGGCTATGAAGAATAATCACTAATGATTTCCAAAGGTACTTTTATAAGTAAATAGAATATTAAAGACATAATAGAGATTTAATGAGAGCTGTCAATTTTGATGGATATAAAATTAAAATAATTTTTTTTAATAAACACAAACCTTTTTTAGCTTTGATTCGAAGCTGAGAAGGCATTAATTTTAGCATAATGTGTTTATTATTTTATTTATTATTAATTTTTTTTGTGTCTGTCACTACTTTTTCTCAGCTTTCACGGGACCAATTTCTCTCAAAGATATGTTAAAAGATCACAAATCATATCTAGTTGAAGATATTACCATCAAAAATTGAAAATTTTGCCCTCGTTTCCCGTATAATGAAAATCCCACAACAAATTATGATTTTTATATTGAAACCATAAATATTTCTCTTTCATTTGATATAATTTTTTTTAAATTTTAACCTTTATCTGCTCACAGGGGAGGATTCAAAATTCAACTACTGCACAAAAATTTTAATTTTCAACTAAAGTTTTGAAAATGTTCCGGAATTACTCCGAGCTTCAAACACATGTTAAAATAAAAGTAATGTTATGCATTAAAAATAAAAAAAAAAATTGTCCCAACGACTTATCTTTTATATGCAAATGATTGCCGCCGTAGTTAAAAAAACATTCAATTTTGGTGTTAAAATTTACGATTTCAGATTTCATTTTTTCAACTTTTAATTACTATAACTTTTCGAAAAATTTATGGAACAATACAATTATTTTTTCATAAATACTTTATGTTTACTACTTTTATTTAATATACATTTGTTTAAAATCTGACTTTTGACCTGACCACAGAGGGGATTCAAAAATATAATTTTTACATACAGGTTAAACTTTTTCAACTCAATTTTTGAAAATTTTCCTGAAATATTGACACTTTTATTTAATCTTAAATTAAAGCTTATGTAATATACTGTATTATGAAAAAAAAAATTTCGAGATATAGTGAACATGGTTATTAAGTTTAAATATAACCTATATTTGTGTGAAAATTCTTGACATTGTATTTTAATTAATTTTAATATACCTTACAATGGGGTATACCGATTTTCATGAATATTATATTAAACTAATTGACATAGAATATAAAGTTATGCTTAATTCTATTTTTTTTTCTTTTGAGTCAAAAAAAGTAATTTACATTTGAATCAGCTTAAATTGCTAATTTTATCAAAAAACAAATGTGACAAATGTTTGCCGATTCAGTAAAAATCATTGCCTATGACAATTTTTCTTTAATTATTTTTGAGTTAGAATTTTGCTTTAGAATAATCCTCCAATTTCTTAAAATTACACACTATATACAGATTTGCATCGAAGTTTCTAATGATAGTGATTTTAATCACTGTCAGATATCATCTGTATGAGTCCCAACTATGCCACGCTCATACTGTGTACGATCCCCCACTACGTTACCATTTTTTTTGATTAGTCTTAATACTTTTTAACTAAGGAGAAAGAAATGCGAAGCTGTGAAAACAGTTATAGAAATAAATATTGAAGGAAAAAGAGGTAGAGAAAAACCAAAAATAAGATGGAAAGATGTTATTGAAGTGATATGAGGACAGCTGATGTGTGTATAGATGATGTGGGAGATTATGTCAAGTTAAAGTTTAGGATAAGGGTAGCTGACCTCAAGTAGTTGGGATAAATGCGAAGAAAAATAAGAAGAAGAAGTCTTAATTACTTTTTAATTAGACTTTGTATTTCAATATAATCCTGTTTAAGCCAGACATACTATTTTAATTTGATTTGATATACTTGTACTAAGATAAAATCAACTTACTTGGACATCTTGAATAATTCCTTTAAAGTGAGGTATGTTTTCAAATTTATCAGCTGTTGTTTGACGAATATGTCGCTCAATTGTATTAGGTCTGGGAAGAATGTTATCTAAAGTTACTAGTGTCTCAGGTATATCTCTGGGTCTTATTGGTTTTGAAGATGGAAAACCTCCTAAGTATAAAACTTGAACATCTAACTGTCCTGTAGCACTAATTGTTTTTCTAAAATACTCTGTTCCGTTTATTTTTACTTGTACTAAAGTTATATTACGTACAACCTAAATTAAAAAATAGTTAAGTTTCTAATTTACATATTTAAATACAAATTTACTTGTATTAAATGATTATGTCCATCATCTAATTTCACACCACCAACAGTGTATGATTCTGGCGTTGCATTAAATTGTATTCGAACTAGAAGTTCACCACCTTCTAGTTCAGCAGCAATATGAGTTTCTTCTGAGAAAGTAACACTTCCTGGCATTGATCCTAAATAAAATATTCCACCACGTGTTTGTCGAGTTCTAATGAACATTGATATATCTACTATATTTCTTACAGCTCGTTTTGCTATAGCAAAAACATTCACAGTTACAAGACCATTTGTGATGTTTTCATGGCCAAAAGTTGCTGCTGGAAAACCTGAAAAAGGTATGATTTTTATAAATGTGCTAAAACTTTCATAGATTGTTGTATTATTGAGAATATTTACAGATATATCAATGTCTAAATTTATGCTAACATTTTAAACTTGTTGCAGTTTATTTTAAAAATAAAACTAATGCTTTGCAGCAATAGTTACAGGTCTAAAGATTAACTCTGCAATGATATAAAACATTAACACAAAACTAAGACATGAATATATCTGTAAATATTTTAAATAAAGTACACATTTTATTTTTATTAATAACAAACATCATTATTTAAATAAAATATTTGATCATACTATAATGGCATGTATTCCCTAAGTAAGGCCGTTCACAAGTACAACTGAAAGTTTTCCATAAATCAGTACAATGTCCATTATTATGACATGGATTAGGATTACATTGATCATTTCTTTGACAACCAATATCTACATTGGTTAATCCTATTGTATCTATTTTATCATCTGGTAAAACCTATCAAATATTTAACACATTAAATATATTGAATAGAAAAAAACTTTATAATATCTTACCCATTGTCCATTTATTAAAAGATTTTCAATACATCCAATAAAAAATGGAGGGCCATGAGGTAAAAGTCTTAAGTTTGATATTGTACCGCCTACGTATGTTGTAGGGAAACTAGTATGAGTTGGATTTGCACCTTCATTCAAATTTATAGGATAAATAGTTTGTTCTTCATTAGCTGACAACACCAAATGGGAAGAATTTATGGCAACAAATACCTTTAACCAGTTAATGTAAGTTAGTTAATAATAAAAAAAAAAAATGAAACTTTTTACCTTTTGCCATTGGCTGTTATTTAATTCAGTTCCAATAAATACTCCTTCCCACTTATTTAAAAGACTTGAATGTAAATTTAAACGACCTTTCACTAATTCTAATATGTAAAAGGTTGATCCACCACCAATAGCTAATAAACCACTAGGTAGTGTTGTTTTAAATCTAAAAGATATATCATAACCTTCTTCTCTAGTAGTGTTTACTACAATACGAGATTCACCAGTTAATGACATAGTTGTAGTCTAAAGTAAAAAAAGTTATAAAAAAATATTAATAATTTAAAAAATTAGGAGATAAGGAAAGTTTGAAAAAGAACATTTAAAAAAAATTATAAATAAAACTTACTTTTTCACAAATATCACCATGGAATCCATATGGACAAGTGCAATTATAACGATGTTCAGTTTCATCAACTAAATATGGTCTACAAGTACCGTTATTCAAACAAGTATGTGGTCCTTGACATCCTATCAATTCTACAGAACAATTTTTTCCACCATATTTTGGTGCACAATCACAGTAGTATCCAGCACGTCTGTCTATACAAGTTCCATGTTCACAAGGCCTATTAATATAAATAATAATTACCATATTAAATTAGTAAAACAATATTTTATATATTATAATATAAATAATCATACTTAAATCTTTCACATTCATCAATTTCAATTTCACAATAAACACCTTCAAATCCATCGTCACATAAACAAACATAGCCACCAATTCTGTTATCACAGCTACCCCAGCGACATGGATTACTTTCACATTCATTTATATCAATTTCACATTTCATACCTGTTGTTCCAGGTAAACACAAACATTCGAACCTAATTTTTTATACATTAAAATGTTTTGAGAAATATATTTTTAACCTAATATAATTAAATACTACTTAAATGAAAATAAAACTAAAAATATTATAACTAACAAATTAAACATACCAACAAATAAAAAAAAAAAAATTCAAAATCCTACCCATTAGCAGTAGCATAATTAAATTCCTGTTGAAATATTGGTATTACATGTTTTTTATCTGCCTGGTTATACAATGATATGTTAGAACGTTCTAAGCAAGTACCTCCAAACTGACAAGGGTTATTTTCACACTCATTTATATCAATATCACAATTTTTCCCTAAAAAATAATAATAAATCAAATTTTATTCCCGATTTAAATTATTAATTGAATAATTTATAAATTAAAAATCAACAAATTACACAATTTCAGTTAGTTGAACCAGGATAACAAAATTAACAAGTTGATTATAAAAATTTTAATTATAACTGTTATAACTTATTACATATAGCAATTAAATTGCGTAATTTTTTATAGAATTTTCATATCTACACCCAAAGCTGTAAAGAGACTCAAATGAAAATTCTATGATTATTCAAACTCTTATATTTAAGAGAATTATCCTGACTTACAATTTACCGCTACAAAAAAAAAAAAAAAATGTTGAGTTGTCATTATTTTTGTCAATGTGGTATGTATATTTAAATATTATATATTAATCATTAGATTATGAAAATAACATTATTTAGCATGATAAATTACTTATATTTTACAATTTTAGCAAACAGAGAAATTCATTTATCATAAAACATTTAATTAATCAAAAAGTTAAAAATAACTTTAAGGTAGTGTTCTTGAACCATTATTACCAACTCATTTCAATGAGTTACTGATCATTTTATTACATAATATTTTTTGTTTAGCTGGTGATATAGTAATTCTGGTTAAAAAAAGTAATTTTAGTAAGTCATTTAAAAAGTCTTCTTTTTTTTTTAATCAGGTTAAATTATGATTGTCTAATAACATACTAAAAATTAACTTTGCTAAATCTAAATATATTAATTTTAAAATGAACAATATTAACTAATATAGTGATAATCCTATTACTTTTCATAAGTACCGATGTTACAATAATAATACTTGTAAATGTAATGAGGTATTGAATCAGTTTCAAAAATTAAATACTTATGTGTATGGGCAGATGAATGTTTAAAGCACTCTGTTCATATTAATTATGTAGTTGGATATATATTCATAAGCTATTTTTATATTTGGAAATATATGTGATTTTTTAGACATTAGAACATTGATAATTACTTATTTGGCTTTAGCTCAATTGATTATTATTTATGGTATTCAGTTTGGGAAGGAACTTATAATAGGAACAGTGTGGCTGAGTCGGTAACACGGCAGTGTTTGACATGCACTGCCTCAGTTTTAAAACTCAGTCACAGGCAGTTTCATTTTCTGAATGAGAGATCAGTTTGATAATTAGAGTTCCCATCCCTTTCTTCGATGACGGATAAACCACCCATTCTGGAGTATAAATAGTTAAGAAACCTCCTTCTTTAGGCAAGGCTGCTATGACACTTAATGGGCTGATAAAGCAATAATAAAAAAAAAACTTATAAATCACATATTAAGTGTTTAAATATGCGTATATGCTATACCATAACTATAATACTAGAATTAAAAACCAATCTACTTTAAATGTCCCCTTGTTTAAAACTAATTTTAGTAAAAAAGTGTGTCAAGTGTAGGTATTTTATTGTGTAGAAAACTATATATATTAATTTGTTTAATAGTTTTTAAATTTATAAGATACATGTTAATTTTATTAATATGATAATAACTTTATTATCAAGGTTTTTTTTATTTTTTAGTTTATTTTAAATTTAGTCAAAATATTGTTACATTTTATTTTAATTGCATTTTGAACTTACCATACCTTGCACAAGCTATACTTTTTAGAAGTAATCATTTGCATTTTATGCATTATTATTATTATTATATTGAAACTTTTTTTTTACTTTTAGTTATATATATATATAGTTTTTAGTGTTATATATTTTTTGAATTATCAACTATTAAATACTGTTTTGGTACATTCCTCATATCTTATAGGGGTGTCAACTTTATTTTTATTAAATGGAAATATACATAATGAAATGTATGTTTCCATTTAATAAAAATTAAAAGGTTATACAAATAAAAAAAAAAATTATCTAATAAAGAAAATAACTGATAAACAATAACTTTTTTAAATTATTAAAACATGAATCAAGTTCAAACATTTTTGAACTTTTTTTTTCAAAACTGAAAAGCAGTTTTATTAAACACTGGTTTCTTAAATTAACAATATTCAACACATATAGCATATTTCAAAGTTCAAATTCAAATAATTCGTAATTAATTTTTTTAGACTTTGAATTCATAGATTTGGATATCACATTTATTTTAGCTTCGTTGCGAAGCTGAGAAGGTTTTGGTTTTACCATGTGTTTTTTTTTTTTTGTGTCTGTTACCACTTTTTCTCAGCTCTTATCGAACGGATTTCTTTCAACGATACGTCAAAATATCACAAATCGTATCTAGTCGAAGACATTACCCTCAAAAATAGAAAAAATTTCCCTCGTTCCCCGTAAATGGGGGAAACCTCCAAAAAATTACAAATTTAAAAATCTCTAATTTTCGAAATTTTTTCAATTTTTTTTACTAAAAACTGCCGTAACTTTTTCAAAAATGAACATATCAATATAATTTTTTTTTTTATAGATGCTTGATGTCTTTACCTATCAATTGGTATATTTTTTTTGTAAATTTGACACTTAACCTGCCCACAGGGGAGGATTTAAAATGACAACTTTTTCACAAAAAATTAACTTTTGAAAATGTTCCGGAAGGTCTGACACTTTTATATATATCTTATATTAAAGCTAATGTAATGTACTTTATTATGGAAAAAAAAAATTTGACCTCTGGACTTGACTTCGTGGTGAAAATAGACATCAAAGTTAGTAAAAAATTACGATTTTAGTATAATAATTCTTTTTTATATTTTTAACTTAATAATCCTGTAACTTTTCGGAAAACGTATGGATCAGTAAATTTTTTTTTTTTATAGATGCTTGATGTCTTTACTTATCATTTGGTATATCTTTTTTATAAATCTGACTTTTTACCTGCCCACAGGGAGGGATTTAAAATGACAACTTATTCACAAAAAATTTATTTTTTCAACTTGACTTTTGAAAATGTTCCAGAAAGTCTGACACATTTACATATATCTTAAATTAAAGATAATGTAATATACGTTATTATGAAATAATAAAATTTGACCTCTGGACTTGTCTTCGTGGTGAAAATGGCTACCAAATGTTATTTTCGTATGAAAATTCTTGATTTTATTTTTTACATTTTTAACTTAATAATGCTATAACTTATTGAAAAGTGTATGGATCAACACAATTTTTTTATGAGAAATAATATTTTTTAATAATCCCTTTTTCATTCAGGATATTAATAAGAAAATAACAGATCATGTAGCTTTTGGAATAATCCACCAATTTTTTAAAATTAAACACTATCTAAAGATTTGCATCGAAGCGTTTTTTTTGGTAGTGATTTTAATCACTGTCAGATATCATTATACTTTGCTAACTATGCCACGTCACCACTGTGCCGCGACCCCCTGTGCTGGGTTTTTTTTAAGAAAATTTATTTATACCTGAGTATCCAGAATAACATCGACAAGAGTAATCTTTAATGCCATCTATACAAGTGCCATTGTTTAAACAAGGATTATGAATACAATCATTGATATTTAATTCACAGTGATATCCTTAAATAAATAAAAACTATTTATTATATATTCTTATTAAATTAAAATGTATGATTGAATGTATATGTATTAGTTTTATACTTATAAATTACCTTCAAATCCAGTATCCGTACAGTTGCATTCGTAGCTATTGATACCATCTATACACAAACCTGAATTTTGACATGGCGAAGACTAAAAAAAATAAGAATTTATATTATATTTTCAAATCTCAATATAAATAAGAACTACTCAATTACTTCACAGTCATTTATATTTGTTTCACAAAGTTTTCCAGTTAAACCAACTGGGCAAATACAAGTGAATGATGCTTTACCATCAACACACGTGGCACCATTTAAACAAGGGTTAGAGCTACACTCATCAACATCGATGCTGCAAACTTTTCCTAAGATAATAAATTCATTATAAAAAATATATAATATCATTTTTATAATCATATCACAATTTATACAATAAATATTACTGGACATTTAACACTTACTTTTTAAATTGTGTTAAAATTTACCTGTAAATCCTGGAGGACAAACACAATTGAAACCATTAATCTTATTTTCACAAATTGCACCATTATAGCATGGTTGTGATAAACATTCATCAAAATCTACATCACAATTATCACCAGAAAATCCAGGGCGACAAAAACATTGATAGCTACCTACATTTGAAAAATAGTTTGAACATTATAAGATCAGAACTTAATATATATCAAAACTTTCATCATACTATTAATAGTATAATATAATAGGTTCCTCAAACAATAATAATACTTTGATAAAATATCTTTACTATGAAGATTTTTTGGTTAATTTTGATATTAATGTAAAATTTTTAATAGCACCTACAAATTTTAAGTAAATATTACAATATCAAAATATAATTTTTATAAATTTAACAGAAATTTAGATAGACTACATAACAGGAATTGTTTATTATGAATATATAACACAAATCCTATTTTCATATAAAATCTTATTTAAATAAATATCGTTCAGAAGTGTAAATTCAAAATTTTGGAAGGGATTTTGAAAAAATTTGATTAAAGAGAAAACTATAAATTTTTTTAATTTTACCTCCCTCTTAGAATAAATAGTTATTTTTGAATTTTTAGCAGATATAAGAGCCAAAAAAGTATGGTTATCAAAATTATTTAAAACTATATTCTCCATAAAAATATTTCTGGTTGTATGACTGATATAGTAATCAGTACTTTTTTTTAATTTAGCTATTAGTTTCGGTTATGGGGTAGAGGATGCACCTCAAAATAAGCTATTAGTATAATCATTTACTCAATAATATATAATCATAAATAGTACCCACACTATGATGACCTAAAAAACATTGAAAAATTATGTTAAAAAATTCTAAAAATTGTAATATAAAAATGTCTTTAAAATGTAACACGTTTTAGAAAAATTAAATGTAAAACATTAATATATTACGAAATTGATTTGAAACCCTATAATATTATATTAATTTAATATTTTACTTTCAACAAACAAAAAAATAAAAAAATTTATATTCATATTTATTTATAATATTTTTTAAAAAGATCAATAAATACCATTAGTATTAACACAAATTCCATAATTGCACACATCTTTATTAACTTCACACTCGTTTATGTCTTGATCACAAAGAAGTCCTGAAATTTTAGGATTTATTAAAATCAACAATATTGAGAAAATTATGATTTAAGTAAAATTCAAGTATAAAATAAATTACCAGTAAAACCACTGGGACAATGACATGAGTTCTCATCAGAATTATCTATACAAGTAGCATTATTTTTACAAGGATGATCTTTGCAATCATTTAATGGTTTTGTGCAATCATCTCCAGTATAGCCTTCTGGACATCTACACTCATAAGTATTTATACCATCCACACAAATTTTACCTTGTGGACACAAAGTCATTTGACAATCATTAATATTTAGTTCACAATTTTTTCCCTCAAACCCTAGAAATTTTATTGAATAAAAATTTTATGGATAAAATTTATATGAGTAATATAAAATTATACTTGTTTTTTTTTTTAAATTCATGATATATACCTGAAGAGCAAATGCAAACATAATCTTTAAGTGACATTGTTTTGTGAATACATGTTCCATTATTGATACAGGGTCCAGGAATTTTAGCACATGCATCAAATGGGAATTGACAATATGCACCCATAAAATTTTCAGTACAATCACAACGAAAACCATTAATGAGATCATGACATATTCCACCATTTAAACAAGGTTTAGATAGGCACTCATCAATGTCAATTTGACATGTCTGACCTAAATATCAACAATCAAAAATTATTATTTATTGGACACACAAAAAAACAATTTCAATTTTAAATCTTTAAAACATTAATTCTAATTATTTTAAACATAAATTTTAAATGTAATAATAATACAGAAATAATTGCATGGGACAAAAATAAATAATACTTAACATTTGTTTTGTTTTAATAAAAATACTAATATCACCATAAGAAAATTCAGTATAGCAATTTTAGTAAAAAAACTTAATACTTTATATAAAATATTGAGATTATCATATCAAATGTCCGGTACACAATAATGGTACGTAAAATTTTTGGCAAAAATGATATTAGATTAAGAATAAAAGTAAATAACTATATAATTTCTAATACAAATAATAATTATTTAATTTTGAAATGACACCATTTAAAAGTATTTCAATATTATGAATTTATATTAACTCAAATTGCAATAAAAATTGTTAAATAAAATTTATCAAAAAATCTTAAAAGTGCATTTACGTCTTTTGTATTTTAGAACAATAATATTGATAGTCACTTGATTATACTAAGTAAATATTACTATAATTATTACATTATTTTACATGAGTTGAAAAAATTACTCTTATTTAAAGAATTGATTCAATTACTCGTATGTTAAAAAGTATTATAAAATACCATATAATATTAATGCTTTTTTTTGAAATATTTAATTGTGCATATACAGAAATTCATAAAATATATACATAAGTTATCTTTAAACACACTTTATATTATTATATTATATTCCTCTAAATTTATAGCTTTTTTAAGTCACCTAGTTCATTATAATTTTTTTGTTTCTTCTGAATAACTACTAGCTTTTTAGCTATGTGGTTGAGTTGGATAATGCAGTTAATTATAATATATTTTATAAATATATCTGATTTTAACTATGTTAAATAATTTAATTCTTCAATTTATGTAAAACTTTTTCATTTATTTAAAATTTACAACTTAATCTTCAGTAAACTAGATCATAATGAGTTATTAAGATAATTATTTTCAAAAACTCATGTAGCATAACAACCAGTGGCGTTTCCAGGATTTTAGAGTTGGAAAGGAACCTTCAATTTATAGTTATATATGAAAAATATTTTTAGAAACCCTAAAAAATTTGACAACAAATTTTCTATTTTTACACAGTAAAGAAACAAACCATGAACTACAAGACTGTAGTTCAAATTTAAAAATCCAAAATACATAAATATTTTTAAGCAATTTAAAAATCAAATTTTTTTACATATCTATTCTTATTAGTGCGTTAACTCTAGTGCTTACCAATAAGGAAACTTATTATAATATTTAAATAGCTAAAACTTATTAACAATTTGTCGAAAGAGGTGTAAGAATTTCTTATTCAATGAGTTATGGCAGTTTTAAGTACAAAAATAATATCATGATAGTAGGTGAATTTTTACCCGAATTTTTGCTCAATTTTGGTAGCCATTTGCACATAGAAGACAAGGTGTCAGAATAAAATTTTTTTTTTCAATTTATAGTATGCAACATAAGCTTTAATTTAACATATATTTAAAAGACGCAGTATTTCCAGAACATTTTTAAAAGTTAAGTTAAAAAAGTTGACTATTGTAAAAAAAAGTTGCCCTTTTTAAACCCCCATTGTAGGTAGTTAAAAGATCAAAATGTCAAAAAAATTATACAAAATAGAAGCAAGTACCTAAGGTTTCTCTTTAAACAAAAAATTATTTTAATTTATTAATTTTTGAAAAAGCTATGGTAGTTTTAAGAAAAAAATGTCAAAAATTACTGATTTTTAAAAATTTTTTTGGAGATTTCTTCCATTTAAGGGGAACCAAGAAAATTTTTTCAATTTTTAAGGGTAATGTCTTCAACTACATACAATTTGTGATCTTTTGATGTATCGTTGAAAGAAATTGGTCCAGTGAGAGATGATAAAAAGTAATGACAGACACAAAAAAAAAAAACACATGGTAAAATTAATACCTTTTCTTCAGCATTGCATCAAAGTATATTATTTGAAAGGATCTAATTTTTACAGAGGGTTTACATACTAGATGTTGACAAAATCTTAGTATTAAGCCACACCTGCCGCCGTAGTGTACGGATGGGTGTCCATACGTGCATTTTACAGTGGCAAAAGCACCAGGTCCCAAGTGTAGAAGGCAACGGGAAACAACACTGCACTAATCCCTTCCCTAGTAATATCAGGTGACCTTTAGGTATCTGGTATCCAAAACCCAAAAACAGGTAAGATTAAAAAAAAAAAAAAATTTTACATAGTTATTCTTAATTTTAATTAAAAGGATTATTGAAATTATATATTTCTATTTTTTTTTTTTTTTTAATATTTATACAGATAATTGCCCAAAAACATTATAAGAATACTTTTGTTAGTAAATAACAAATTCTATAAAAAAGTTCTTTTGGCTTACTGGAAAATCGAAAATTGGGAGGAAATACCAAAAAAACTACTAATGTTTACATTATTTTAATAATTCCTGGATATTTCTTCTTGAATTTTGAAAAAAAAAAAATCTTATAAATTTATTTATTAACTTTTTGAAGTGAAACCAAGAAAAAATTATAACTGACTGTGGTTCGGGTTTTATGATTGAACTTATTTCAATTTTAAGCAACAGAAATAAAGATATAAATATGCCAAAACTATTTTTTTTAAGCTTGAGTATTATAACTAAGGTGTTTTAAAACTCAATTCCAATATTTTTTTATTTAATTTCAAAGCAGTCTCTTTTTATACATTCACATTTTCTAAAATTTTATAATCAATTCTATTACTACAAATTCTAAAGTATTTTTGAATATATTTTTATTTATTTTAATCCAATTTGATTTTTAAAATAAATTAAGTTTTGATTATGAATTATCATTGTTTTAATTGATTACCAGAAAAGCCTGGGGAACAGTCACAGCGGAAATTATCAGCCTGCTCTGCTAATGGAGTGCAAGTTCCACCACGAGCACAAGTGTTAGAATCAGAAGAATGAATGAGTTCACCAAGATGTTGATTACATTGTGGGCCTGACCAACCAGGTTCATATTCACAATAATACCCACCGGCCTACAAGTTTAAAATTGTTTTGATATATATGATCTAGTGTTCAAAATTTACAGAAACGAAAAAAATTCTTCTAGGCAAAAATTTAAATGAATGGATAAGGTATATCAAAACTGTAAAGCAAAACAACTTCATGTGACTTATATAGCCATGACAAGATATAGCATGCTGACAAGGATCAACATTACATTTAAGAGTCATCTCACAGTTACGACCAGTAAAACCAGTCAGACATATATACTCATAACTAGATCCTTAAAATACACATTATGTATTGAGATACAGAATTGAGACAAGGCATGAAAACACATACATCTCAGCATGCGAACGTACCACAATGTTACCATGCTCACAAAATACGCCTGTAATATGGTGTAAAAACTATATCCATGCAAAATGTGATATAATATCTAGTACAACTAACACACTACTTTAAAAAAAAATTCACTTAATATATTAAAGAAAATATCATTTAACTTAACAAAATATATATAATCATATAATAATGGCAAATAATAAAATAAGATGAATATAGAAAAAAATACCTGAAAAACCAAGTTGACATGAACAATTAAACTGGTTATTTCCAACTAAAGTACAAGAACCTCCATTTTGACATGGATTACTATTGCAAATTGTTGTTTCTGAACAATTAGGAGGTGACCCTATTAATGTTAACATATATTTTTAGAATAATTTATTCATAAAATGAAAATAACTAGAAAATTAAATAAAATGTGATCATTACCTATGTACCCAGATTTACAATGACAGGTATATGATGCAATTCCATCAACACACATTGAATTAGGAGGACAAACAGCTGTCTCACAATCATCCACATCAATTTCACAATTTCTACCTAAAAATCCTGGAAGACAGCGACACTCATAACTGCCAATTTGATCACGACATTGACCACCATTTTGGCATGGATTTGATACACATTCATTGAGATCCTAAAATATATATAAGTCAGTAAGATATAATAAAAAAATTACTTTCAATCATTACATTTTCACAGTTTGTTCCACCAAATCCTGACTGACATTGACAAGTGTAACTACCGTAATTATCAAAACAAATACCTTGATTTAAACATGGACTCATTTCACATTCATTGATATTTGTCTCACAGTTTACTCCTTTATATCTAAATAAAAATAATTAAATAAAAAAATGTACAAAAAAGTATTTTAACAAATAATACCCTGTTTTACTACAAGCACATGTGTAATTATTCACTCCATCAATACAAATACCTCCATGCTGACATGGACTCGATAAACATTCATTAATATTTATTTCACAACCTTCTCCTTTAAAACCTATTTTAAGTAAAATAAAATTAATAAAAATGTTTTAAATTAAAGAAAAATCTTTATTCTTAACAAAAAAAATATACAGTTTTTGGAATGACGCAAATACGAAATACTGCAACAAACCTAAAAGGAACTGTACATTAGTCAACAAAAAAAATGTAGGAAATCTACCTGATAATATAACGAAAACCTTAAAATTTATCGAGTTAATACAAAATTAATTGTAATCATAGTAAATATTAATTTAGCTAATGACTATAGTCAAAACTTTTTGTTACAAAATAAATAATATATATTTAATTTTAAGCACAAAAATCTAATACAATTATTAAGAGAAACTTTAATAATATATTACATTTATTAACATTACAGTAAAATTAACTTCAGTTGGCTGTCAAGTAAAAAATTATTTCCAAATTTAAATTTAAAATGTCTGTATTAAGTCTAGAATATAAAACTGGATAATTCCTTGCTTTTATTCGAAATAGGCCAAATTTCTAATTAGTTTATTTAATCGATTTATCTGAAGCTAAAGAGATAAATTTGGAAGAGGACAACTTTATACTTGATGGCTAACTTAAGCTCATTTTATAGAATATATGCATTACCTGGTGCACAAACACATTCATAGTTTTTACCTCCAGGTATATATTTACAAGTACCATTATTTCTACAAGGGTTGTTATCACAAATATGATTAGACAATTCAATCTCACATAATTTTCCTGTTAAAAATAAAATGAGATGTTAATGATAGTAATATTTAATAAATATGAACACAAGTAAAATTTTACATAAATCTATTAAAAATTACCAGTGTATCCTTTGTCACAATGACACATGAAATCTTCTCCATGTTTTATCTCTTCACATATACCATGAATACAACGATTATTTTGTTTAGAACAAAGAGAGCCTTAAAAAATTTGTACATTAATACCTAAAATTTTCACCAATTTTTTTACTAAAAATTACCATTATCGATTTCACAATTATTGCCTGAATATCTTGGGTAACAAATACAATGATACTTATTTACTCTTGATACACAGACACCATGCATCATACAAGGAGCATGAGAACAATAATCAATGTTTGTACCTATACAATTTATTAAATTGATTAATTAAAATTGATTTACAATAGTTATAACACTATAAATATATGTTAATATTAAATTTAATTACATGATTGACTATTCAATGGACACTGCCCCCACATAACTTTATAGGCTTGATTTAAAGATGAGTTGAAAATAAAATTTGGACCATCTAAAAGACATCCATCAAAACCATTTCCAACTTTTAATGTTGATTGGTCAATAGATAAATCAGAAGTAATCAATTCAGAATTAAATGATGAGTTTGCAATTATCTAAAATTAAAAAACAATGAAAAAAAAGTATTTTTTACTATAAATACAATATTTTAAAAACATTTTATATTAATAATTAAATTCTTAAAAATAATTTTTTCAATTAAAGAATACATTGAAGAAAAAATGGTGAGATTTTTTTGAAAAAGTTTTAACTTAGTAAAAAAAACTAACAGAATAAAAATAAAATTTAAATAAATGACAATGTACACATGTACAATAACAAGAAATATATTTAGAAATACCTGTTGAAAGCTATCAATTGTCATTGTCAATTCACCAAGCTTATACATTAAATTAACATTGTGCCAAGAATTATCTAAAAAATCTCCTGAAATTTTAGACTCGTAATGTTTGTTTTCAACAAATGCATTAAACACTACACCATCATGAATAATAGCCATTGAAATTTGAGCATATGGCATTTCATAAGATTCATGTGCCTGTGAGAATATTGGTCCACCTAAACATGTTCTGAAGCTAAATCCTACATGTTTCTGCAATGAAATACTTGGGAAAATATGCAGCCATGATGATTTGTTAAAATAACCTTCTCGTTCGAATCCTCCGATTCTTTGAGTTTTTGTACATAATAGATGTACAAATAAATATACTGGAACAAATTTTAATAAAGAAAAATATTAATAAATAATATTCTAAATCTCTGTAAAACTAGATGTAAATTTACTATCCTGTATAATATATAATATAATCATAATTGAATGATACTTTATGATTTACAGTAACATTGACTTATAACATACTATACTCTACATGTTGTTTCCCATAATATTTAAAAAATATAAAAAAAAAATAAAAAATTTAATATATTACATCATTACATAATCTGTTAAAATGTTTTTTATGTAATGATAATAACTACATAATATTATAAAACTAAGGTATGGTAACAACTTAAATTAAAATAACAAATATTATTATATAAATAAACTTCTATAAAAGGAAAGAATTAGATTTAGTACCAATAAAAAAATCTATGAATTATTTTGAAATTCTTCTAATTTTTTAATGAATAGTTTGTAAGGATTACGAATTCCAATAATCATTTATCTACTAAATAGATTACTACGGCAAATAGTGAAATATTATATTTAATCTATTTAATATTTATACATTTATAATTATATTTATAAGAGTTATGACTATAATTTGTTTTGCTAAGGTGCAAATAAAAATCTAAACTATCAAACCGGTCATCCGTAACTATGTATAGTTATTAATTTTGTTTACAATGATATTAATAAGACCTATTGTCATAGCATATAAAAGAATTTTTATGGTTACTATCATGCCCTTCCCTTTATTTTAAATACTATAGTATGGCAGATGACAAAAGTAACCAACAAGAATTAACTAGTTAACTAAATTGGTTAGTTAAAAAAGCACATGAAAAATTTTTGAACCATAAAATGTAACAGGAAATGTGGTACAATGATCATATAAAACAAACTATGACATAAAAATAATTTAAGTTTAGAAAAAAGTGTACAATTAGTTATTTTGTACTAAATCATAAACTTCAATTAATTTTAATTTGAAATCTACATTATTTTTTTCTAAAAGTAATTTAAATGAACACATAAGTTTTTTATTATCAATGTCATAAATAATTAACATATTAATAATTGGCTGTATATTTCCTATATGAACCAATATTAGATATTGGTGTCATCACTGGCCATCAAATAATAATTATCACAGAGAAAATAAATTAATTTTTTTTTCACAGAGATTATGATAAAATTGAAAGTAAATTGACATAGGTGTTTTATAATTGTATTTTTTCAATAAAATTTAGCATAAATTATGCGCAAATAATAATTCCACTGATGGAAGCTAAAGAGTAATCCATTGTTAATAAACCTGTTTTAAAAACAGCATAAAAATTGATTAGATAATAAAGGCATTAATTTCCCAAATAAACAAAATGAACTATCAAATGTCCATACCATGTGAAGTAATCAAAGTATTTATGCAATTTGTAAGATTTTGGAAAAATGTAAAAAAGATGTAAAGTAATATTATATAATTACATTATAAAAGATAGGGATCTGAGTACTTACATTTATTTTTATTTAAAACCTAGAAAATAATATAATATTAGTTTTAACAAATCCCTTAAAAAATAAATATAAATACATTTGTGTATTAAAATGTTTGTCAGTAAAATTTATAGAAAATATTGATAATAATCAACAGTTTTGTAACTATTCGGTATTTTATTTAAAAAATACCCTTAGAAATAATGTTTTTTTTACAAAAAACATAACATTTAACATTTAATTCAGTACACTTTTAAGAAAACATCATTATTTAAATAAAAAAATGGGAATAGTATTCTTAATAAATCACACTGTATATCTAAAGTATAACTTAGCACTGAATATTCCTAAATGGTTGAAGTAGGGGATTCTATCCAAAAAAGTATAGCAAATCCACAAATTATTTAAGTTTTTTTTTTTTTAATGAGTTACATGAAATACACTTTTGGTGTTGTAATTTATAAAAATATAATTATATACATTATATGGTTTATATTTTGTAAATACACTCAAATTTAATAATATATTAAATGTCTAACTAATCACATGATGAAAATTCTACTATTTCCAAGAAAATATATTTTGAAATAATTTTGAAGTAATTACATAATGCACTAAAGCTATAATTTAAATCTTATTACTATTCCTAAAACAATGACTAAAAACCAATAAATTGTTTATATAATATAATTTATTGTACATTTTAAAATAAGAATTATTTTTTAATTTATCAGGTCATTGACATAGCTTTGTTTATTTTATGATTAATTTTAAATAACAATCAAATTAAAACTGAACATTTTTTTTATGCTCATTAAAACAATAAACAATACTCACCAAAAACAACAATTGACCGCATTATATTTAAGATATAATTATAGATGTATCATATTTTGATGCAATTTTAATCCGTGACATAGGCTACTGACGTGTAGACAAATTTTCAACTAGACAATAAGTAGATTTTAGTTACAAAACATTATACATTATTTTAGGTAACTTTAATTTGTAATATTAACTACAAACATAAAACAAATTCGTTGAAACAAAAGTCTAATAACTGTCTTACATTAACACTAAGACTAATTATAATTAGGAATTGTTATGAATGAGCGATAAACGGAAAAAGATAAACATAAAATATTTTCATTTTTTTCAAGGACATTAAAAGAAGTATTTTCTTTGTGAGATATATAAACTCCTTCTGTAGCATCGATATTGATAAGAAAAGCCGACAATGATAAAATAGGATAATCATCGTATAAAATTTTAAATACAGAATATTGTATTTAAAATTATGGTCATTATTATAAATATGTTAATTAATAATTCGTATTTTTACTTTTAATAAGTATATTTAACATTAAAACCTTAATTTAAAAATGTTTTACAAATCTCATACACTTAAATTTAGTTCTCAGAAACTATTATTTCAAATAAAATGCTATTCTATTCAAGTGGAGAATAATGGTATTAATTCTGAAATTATAACTTTGAACGGAAAAAAATATAATAGAGATAAGTACACAAATGTTACTCCTAAAATACTCTCATATGTTGGGATTAATAATCATAATCGTCCTGACCACCCTTTATGTTTGTTCAAAAATCGCATAATTGATTACGTTTATAATAACTTCAAAGGTAGATCAGGAAATCCAATTTTTTCTATTTATGATAATATTAATCCTGTTGTATCAAAATATGAAAATTTTGATTCACTACTAGTTCCTGAACAACATCCAAGTAGGAAAAGAACTGATTCTTACTATTTAAATGAAAACTATATGCTTAGAGCACATGCTACAGCTCACCAATCTGAACTTATTAAAATGGGTTTAGATAATTTTGTTGTATTTGGAGATGTTTACAGAAGAGATGAAATTGATTCAACTCATTTCCCTGTATTTCACCAAGCTGATGGTGTGCATATATTTACTCCAAATGAATTGGAACAACTTAGTGGGGCTATAATTAATGTTTTTGATAAAGATAAGATTGAAAATAATCAAAAACAGGATGTTTATTCCATGGAAGCCAATGAAATTGTTGTTAATCATTTGAAAAATACACTTTTGTCTATGATTCATGAAGTTTTTGGTGAAAACATTCCTTATAGATGGGTTTCAGAATATTTTCCATTTACTCACCCTTCCTTCGAGTTAGAAATTAATTATAAAGATAAGTGGATTGAGGCATTAGGATGTGGTGTTATTAAAAATGAAATCTTAAAAAAAGCTGGAGCTGGAAATCGAATTGGATGGGCATTTGGACTTGGCCTTGAAAGATTAGCAATGCCATTTTACTCTATTCCAGATATTCGCTTATTTTGGTCAAATGATTCAGGTTTTATAAGTCAATTTGAGAATAATTCAAAAGATAAAAGAATTACCTACAAACCAGTAAGCCTTTATCCACAATGTATAAATGACATAAGTTTTTGGTTACCCAAGGAAAAATCATATTGCTCAAATGATTTTTATGAGTTAGTTGGAGAACAAGGTGGAGATATAATCGAGCAAGTGAAATTAATAGACCAATTTCAACATCCAAAAACAGGGGATGCGAGTCATTGTTATCGAATTGTATACCGACATTTGGAGAAAACATTAACTCAAGAAGAAGTAAATCTAGTCCATAAAAAAATTGAAAAATATGCTGTTAAAGTTCTAGGTGTAAAAATTAGATAAAATTAAAAATTATTTGTTTTGTTTGGAGAAATTAATTTATGGAATAAATTATCATTATTATACTGTAATTGTTGTTAAATGTTTTATATTTATAATACATATACATCTAAAAATGTAAAGTTATCTGTTCATTTTCTTAAATCAATCAATTTTTTATTTTCCTGTTATTATTTCTTTAAGTTAAAATCATATTAACAAGTATCATTTTAGAAAATATAATTATACTAAGTAATATTGTGATGCAGTCTTAGATTTAAGTAAAATGCAAAACTTAGGGAATTTTAAATTAATTTTCTCCATCAAATAAATATTTTTTCATAATTAATATAATTTTATATATAATTGCATATAAACAATTGATCTATAGGAAGTAAATTTCCCTAAAACTCAAATAACTTAATCCTATCTAGTGGTATAAAAAATGTTGCAGAAGGAGTTTTGAATATTTTGATAAAAAAGGATATTGAAATTTGTTTTCATTTAACTCTTCATTCTAAAACAAATAATTTGTTGAATTTTAGAATATGATTAAATAAAAAATTATAATTTCATGTGCATTTTGATTCTAGTCGCACTTTAATTTATTCAACTTGAAAAATAAAAAAAATACACAACAAATATTTTAAGTAAAAGAATTGTTAAGTTCAAGAAATAAAACAAAAAGCTTAATTAGATAGAAACAAGGAAATAAAGATGAATATATTACATTATAATTGTATGTAAAAAGTACTTTAAAACACTGAATACTATACATTAAAATGTTTATTGTGATTGATAATGATCAATATTGAAAATTTATTATAGCTAATCATAAATATTAAAAAAAATCCAAAGATTTTCTTTTAAATATTTTAATAAAGTGCCTCAATATTTTAAAAAACCTTTAAAGTATGGTTTTTACAAAATATTTAACACATACATATGTATACAGAATAATTAAATATATATTGTATAACACACATTTTTCTGTCAAAAATATAACTTAAAACAAAATAAAAGTTAATTGCTTTGTAGTTATTAGAATTCATTTTTAATCAAGAGTAAACTTTTTGTAATAAAACAAAAACAGTTCATAAAGAATCATGTAAATTAGGCTCTTCGTATTCTAAAAGATCTTTTCTGGTAAAATGTTTGTTGGTACATCCAATATATGGACAAGGCACAACAGAACGTGTCAAAAACATTTGATTGACTGAATCTTGATCATATATATGATTACATATCCTATTACGTACAGGTCTTGTTATTGGTTGTCTAGTAAATGGATCTAATACTCCTGTTGTAACAACTTCAGAAACAATATTTGAACAATCCAAATTTGGTTTATTATATTTTTTAATAGCCAATAAATGTTCATGATTTTTAGCTGATTTTGAAGCAGTTTCAAAAGCATTGCTTAAAACTCCTTGGGCCAATTTATTATATTCACTAAAAAAATATAAAGATAAATATACAGTGTTCAATAAATAAAGGAAGGGGTTGCTATTGTTCATAGCAATTGATCTGTTTCTATACTTTTTGAATATTCCATGAAACAGTAAATGTTTATATAATTATACACAGAGTGTCTCAGATCTAATTGTCAACGCTTATGACTTTTGATCCAATTATCATTTTGTTAATTTTTTTTTTTTAGTAACTATTACCTAAAATTTTATATATAAATTTGGTTCAAGTCAGATTAGGCCTGAATAAAATAAATTTTTGATTGGATTGGGCCCTATTTTGAAAGCCTCAACTGAACCCTATTTATTAAATATATACTAATATAGGTTGCACCAACTGTTATTTATATATATTTTTTTAATTTTTAACAAAAAAATTCAACAAAATGATAATTGGATTAAAATTTATAAATGTTATTAGATAAATCTGAGACACTTGTATATAAAAATTACAATGGTATTATTAAAAGCAAGTCTTAAAGCATTTAGTTAGTTTGTTTTAGTCATCCTGAGTACATCAATGATAAATAAATATTTGTTTGTTTTTTAACACTATAAATTATATACAGAGTGGGTGATTATTTTAACATTAGTCACAATGTCTCTTAAAATAATAATTATATAAAAAAAAAAATTAAATTTTTTATATTTTTCAATTTATTAATTATTTTTGTTTTTTTAATTTATCCCTCAGACCTTAAAAAGATATCAACTTTATTTTTTAAATGGTAACATACATATGTAACTAGCTTATAAAATAGAAAATAATCTAATTTAGATAATGACTAGTCGTTAACAACAATTAAACCAATGCTTTGGAAGATATTCACAATTTTGCACTTATTTGGGAGGAGGATAGTAGCCAAGAAACGACTAATAATAAAAATAGCAACATACTCATTTCATCTTCAGTCTATATTTTAAAATGTTAAGAACTTCCAAAATATTATACCAAAAGTTGTTATTGACCATTCACTTTTTTAATTAGATAATTTTCTATTTTATAAACTAGTTAAATATGTATATTGCCATTTAAAAAATAAAGTTAATACTTAGAAGTGGCCAAAATATTTTTTTTTTAATGGTATAAGTTCTAAATTCATATAATATATATAGAGTGTTCAGTAAGTAAAGAAACATGTTTCTATTGTTCTCATTGTTTGTAACAATTGACCTGTTTCCTTACTTTTTGCACACCAGTATAACGGTAATGACTGCAGCAAGCCAAATAAGTGTTATTAATTTAAATTGAGTTTTCATTTCTACTGTGTATAATTAAAGTACTAATTTTTAAAATTTAAAGAAATACTATTTTAAAACCTTTTATTTTAGTTATAAGATGAAATCTTATTTTTATATCGAAATCTGAATTTTTATAATTTTAATATAACACAAAAAATAAATTTAAATTATTTATGTGACTACTATTTATTATTGCAAAAAATGTTATAAAAAGATCAGATTATAAAAAAATTACTGTTAATAATCAATTTTTTTAAAAAATTATTTTCAATTTAAATAATTATTTATGAGCATTTGTAAACCGTTTGTTATATAAATTAAGGTATGGTAGGTACCTAGTATTAAAAAAATTAGTACAATTAAATTATTACTTTTTAAATTCTTCCACTGTTTTAACCTGTATATTTTCATCAACATGGTTTACAAGAGTTTCTTTATTAAAACGAGTGATTGCTTCTACACCTCTGTCATATTTACAAGTTTTCTCAATCACTTTAAGATGTGATTTTATCAAGTCTTTATTTCCAGAACTTTGAGACAGACAAGTTGTTCCAAGAAATTCATTAAAACTAACCTGAGTGTTAATTATTCTTTTAAATACTTTTTCTGACTGTTGACGAAGACGAGATATTGCTTGATTCACTTCATCAAACTGATTGTTCACAGTGTCAATTGGAAAATTCATATCAGATTCTAAAAAAGAATACATTAATTTATAATAAAATGAAAAATATTATACAACAGTAAATACCTGATGATTTTTTCATTTTATGTATTTCATCAATCAAATCAGTAATAGCTTTCTCTCTTGATTGTAGTCGTTTATTCTGTTTTACAATTGGACCATCATCATTAGACAAGATATCTACTAGATCACTATCTTCAGAAAGAGCACGTGGTAATTTTAGTTCTTTACGACATACAGTTCTATTTCTTTCTTTAATAAGCAATTCTAGTTTTTGATAAACGTCCATATTTTGAAGCATAACTTTTTTACATTCATCTTCATCTTCACTTAAAACCATGTTGAAATAATGTACTAATTTCAACTATCTAATAATAACTATTACAAAAAAAATTTTTAATTTATATTTATGTATACATTACTGGTGGTAACCTAAATAGCTTAATTTACATATTAGTATTTACTATAAAAACAAAACTTAAATTTTATTTTATTTGAAAAATAAAATAGAATAATAATTTAATCAAGAGTTACAGAGATTTAATAGTTTAAATGAAACTACAGAACTAGTATTATGAGCAGGAAATCTTAAGTTAAGCATATTTAATTATGTAGGAGAGTCAATTATATTAGAAAGGAGTTTATATAGACAAGTTAAGCTGTAAAAATAGATAACGATTTTAGATTAAGATTGGAAAATAATCAAGAGGAGGACTTTGAATATTTAACATGAATGCTATAAAAACTTACAAGTTTTAATTCCAAATCTCATATTGAGGTATCCTATAAAATAGAATCATATTCTAAAATAGGTCTTACAAGAGCACGACAAAGATATTTTTTCATTAAACCAGCTAATTTGAACTCATAAGAAATACTAGTAACATAATCAAGAAACTTTAAAGCTCTACAGTTAATAATTTCAATATACAATATTGAACAAATATTAGAATTTAAGGCGATTTCAAGAACACATATGTAATCACAGACAGAAGACAAATTATTTATTAATAATTATAATTTATAATTTAATTATTATACAATTATATTGAATATAAAAAAGAATACTGAATAACGATTTTTATTCACATTTAACTGAAGACATAGAAATTTAGACAAATGTAAGGTAACACTAAATTATAATTAACTATACAAAAAATAAGATATTTGAGAATTAGGTAGATGTTACTCCAATACTATCAAATAACTATTAGATAAACAATATAAAGTTACCTTTTTAAATTTAATAGTCAATTTGAATATTATAAATTTTCTTTTAAGTTAATTTAACATTTTTAATTATAAATTTCAAATTAGTTTTAAATAATTTGATACTTCATATTGAATAAAATCTGAGGCTTTTTAACTATTCGTTTTATATATTAGTTTTTAATTTCATATGAAGTAAATTAACAAAAAAATAATTTTCACAGATTGTAGAGTGATATTTTATAAACAGTAGCTTTAAGTAGAGTAAATTATGGATAGTACTATCAATAAAAAAAAAGGCGGTAAATGGCTCATTATGATTAAAATTTAAAAATAACTAATAAAAAAAACTATCTAAAATTAAAAATCTCATAAATGGTTATTATTGAGAATAATAAGAAAACATTTTTATTCTCTTAGAACTACTATTTATGATTCTATCACAGCTTAATCTACGAAAATTATTAATTACTATATTTTCACTTCATCCGATAACAAAACAGTGCTCTGATTAGCAGCAGGATCGTCAGTGCAACTATATATGTGTGCACAGACATTTTTTATTAATTTATTATTAAATCTACTGAAACTATAAATATTATTAAATACCATTAAAAACAATTTTAATTACATTTAATTTTTAAATTACCTTACACTCAAAGTATTAAATTCATAAGTTCATATTTTTTTAAAATATGTTTTTAATATAAAATTAATTAAAAATAATTAAAATTGAATAAAAAATAATAATCTTATAGATTACGTGGATCATTTCGAGAATAAAATGTTTTTTAACAAAACTACCAAAAAATCAGAGAATAATAAATAAAAGTTTTCATTTAATTATTTAATCTATATAAATAAGAATAATGCTATAGACCACAAAAATATAATTGTATAATAGAGTGAATTTAACTTAATTATTTTCCAATTTATTTTTATAATAGCACTCACAGTTATATATCTGTGATTTAATTCATGTTGTTCATATTTTCTGTGGTAATTTTCATTAATTGAATGAGAATTTTTTCCAAATGAAAGGCTTTTTATAAAAACAAATTAACTCCATTTTTGTTTTTAAATCACATTTCTTCGACAATTCTAAATTAAGATAAAAACGATGAAAAATCTACCCCAGGAAAAAATAATCAAAATAATTAAAAAAAAAAAAAACCCAACACAGTGGGGTCGCGGCACTGATGGGATGTGGCATAGTTGGGTTAAGTATAATGTCATCTGTCAGTGATTAAAATAACTATCATAAAAAACGCTTTGATGCAAATCTGTAGATAGTATTTAATTTTAAAAAATTGATGGATTATTCCAAAAGCAACATGATCTCAGGTTTTCTTATTAGCTTCGATGCGAAGCTGAGAAGGTATTGGTTTTACTAAGATGTGTTTTTTTTTTTTTTTTTTTTTTTTTTTTTGTCTGTTACCACTTTTTCTCAGCTCTCACCGAACCGATTTCTTTCAATGATACGTCAAAAGATCACAAATCGTATCTAGTCGAAGACATTACCCTTCAAAATTGAAAAAATTTCCCTCGTTCCCCATAAATGGGGGAAACCTCCAAAAAAATTACAAATTTAAAAATCGCTAATTTTCGAAATTTTTTCAATTTTTTTTACTAAAAACTGCCGTAACTTTTTCAAAAATGAACATATCAATATAATTTTTTTTTTTATAGATGCTTGATGTCTTTACCTATTATTTGGTATATATTTTTTGTAAATTTGACCTTTTTTCTGGCCACAGGGGGGGACAACTTTTTCACAAAAAATTAACTTTTTTAACTTAACTTTTGAAAATGTTCCGGAAGGTCTGACACTTTTATATATATCTTAAATTAAAGCTTATGTAATATACTTTAATTTGAAAAAAAAAATTTGACTTCTGGACTTGTCTTTGTGGTGAAAATAGACATCAAAGTTAATAAAAAAAAACCCAGCACAGGGAGGTCGCGGCACAGTGGTGACGTGGCATAGTTGGATCAAGTATAATGATATCTGACAGTGATTAAAATCACTATNAAGTATAATGATATCTGACAGTGATTATCGCATCGAAGCTAAAATACAATTTTTGTAAAAAAATTCTTTTTTATATTTTTAACTTAATAATGCTATAACTTTTTGGAAAATGTATGGATCAATACAATTTTTTACGAGAAATAATATTTTTTAATAATCTCTTTTTCATTTGACATACTATATCTTAATCAGGATATTAATAAGGAACTAACAGATCATGTAGCTTTTGGAATAATACACCAATTTTTTAAAATTAAACACTATCTAAAGATTTGCATTGAAGCTTTTTTTTTTATAGTGATTTTAATCACTAATTGAAAAAAAATGAAATGCGAAATTTTTTTTTTATATTTAAGTATATTACATAAGCTTTAATTTATATATATAAAAAGTGTCAGTATTTCAGGAACACTTTCAAAAATTAAGTTTAAAAAGTTCTACTTTCTAATGCATTTTTAATTTTTGAACCCCCCTGTATAAAGGGAAATAGTACGATTTAAAAAAAAGATATCGAATGAAAGAGGTATATAGATAGTATTTCTCCTGAAAAATTGTATTGATCCATACTTTTTTAAAATAAGTTGTAGCATTATAAAGTTAAATATATAAAAAAGAATTTTTTTAAAAATCATATTTTTAAAAAAGTTATGGCAGTTTTAAGTAAAAAAAAACGGTAGCACAGTGGGGTCGAGGCACAGTGTAGACAAGGCATACATGGAACAAGTATAGATGATATATGACAGTGATTAAAATCACTATCATAAGAAACGCTTCGATGCAAATCTGTAGCTAGTGTTTCATTTAGAGAAATTCGTGGATTATTCCAAAAGTAACATCAACTCTTATTTCTTTGATTATATCCTAATTAGTAGTTCTTTGATTTAAAAATATAATATATGAATAAATACTAATTATAATTATTAAATTTAGTATGAAATTGATATTCAATAATTTAATATTATAATTTAAACGGAGAAATTATAAAAATAATAAAGAAGTTTTATTTTGCTTTATTTTTACGAGTATAAAAATTTAAAGGGCTTGATACAATAAATTTCAATAAAAACTGTTTGTTACTATAAATAAATGCACTGAACTACAAGGAACTTTCATCAGTAACAAAAATTTGCCATTCTAAATCAACTTTTAGCGATGTTTTCAAATCTGAAATTAGACTTTTTCTATCACTTCTAAGTTTTAATATTATTAAAAATTAGTAATTACATATAAAAAATTCGCATCAAAGCTAAAAAATTGGCTATTTAAGCTCACTCAAATTTAAAAATTACTTTTTCGACTTTAAAAAAGTAAAAAAAAATTAATAAGTTTAATTTTTTATGTCTTATGACCTTTATTTTATTTAACTTTGTTAAATATAATAAAATAAATATTAAAATTATTTGACATTAACTTTACAACTGTATTTTTTTTTATTACTAACATTTATCAAAAAATATTACAAAATTTATGACATTTTATAAATCATACAATTTGGTTTGTATACATTTTTTATTAATTTTAATTGTCTTATTCTATAGCAACAACTAAAAAATTTATATTCTTGTTAAAATTTAAAATTAATTCCATTTAATTAACATAATAAATATTTGACAGAGTTAATAGCATACTTTCATCAAATTTGGATGGAATTTTGCGAAAATTCATTTGATTTAATTTATTTTATACCACTTTGAATTTTAATGATTCAGTTTATTTAGCAGATAGTACTAATAATATAACTTTTCAAGTATTAATTGATATGTTGTTTGGCATGAATTAATTTCATTACACCTACTAAAAATGAAAATATGTAATTTTTAAAAGATTCTTTATAAAGAAAACCCTTGTGGTTTTAAAATAGATGTACAATCTACTTTCACTTTTGAAATTCAATTATTTTAATATTGAATAAAAACTTACTAAAGGTTTAAATAAATTAGGCTTATTCTCTACGAAAACATTCTAAAACATAATGTTTACGAGTTGAATGCAAAAACATGACAAAGCAATTAAACAACATGAAATTTACTTTTTGTAAAAAAAACAATATTTTTTAAGATTTATTAAAAGTTAAAATTTTTTTTTATTTTAATAATATTGCTAATTCGTTAACTTTCTAAAGCAAAACTTAGTGTACAAAAACTATATAAGTAAAATATTTGAAAAATTCCCTTAAATTAATTAGAATTCATAATACCACGAAGAAAATAAACAAATATTTTTTGCTAGGTGTTTATTATACTAAAATTAGATTTAATGAATTGAATATTTTCTAATTTGAAAAGCTTGTTTTATTCAAAGTTTAGATTAGTACTGCATAATTTAAAGCCTCGATCAAACTGCATGTTTGTTGTAAAATAAATAATTAATAAATCAAACAATTTTTTTTTACTTAGTTGTTATTTTAGAACACTTTTTTGGCTCCTTAAAAAATTGATGTTGGCCAAAAAGAATACTTTTTTATTTTTTTGCTGGCCACTATATGACAAAATTTTTCATATAAAAGGAGTGGAACACTTTCAAAATGTAACCTTTTTTAAATTAAATATAAACGTGACAATTTTTCGTTATTCTAACTTCATACTAAGTGCTTAAATTTTTTTTAATTAAATACATCAAGAACATCTCTTGCTACCAGTATGCAGTCAAAGGTTATGTGGAAAATTTACCATCTCGTATTTTGGTGTGGAATTTATTTCATTACAGAAAATGACTTCATCAGGACAATGGCAATGTATTGTGCTGTTGTCATAACACTGTTGAAAATTATTGATTACTGTACACTTTTTGAGAAAACGGAAACAAAAGTCATACAAATTAATGAACTGAACGCTGAAGATGATAAACTACCATCGCCATGTTCTCCGCATTCAACTGTCCCTCCAACAAATATCCCCTGTGTATTTTCTTCGTCAAAAAAATACGGGCATTTTTTCCAGCCATTAATAAGTGCTGAATGCTCGTACAATTTAAAACTGGGCGAAAAACATTCGTTTGAATGCAAAATCGTTAGCTCTCAAAACTACAATAAAAAATCAAAAGTACGTTTTCAAATGAGTAGTAAAAATAATGTATTTGTAGTTGACGAAGAATTATGGATTTCAAGTCCAAAAATGACCAACGCCATAAAAGGAATTGTTACGAACTTCGACCAGTTCATGAGCGTTGTTGA